AAACTTCACTCAAGATTCAAACCGATGAGGCGATCGCAGTCCAGGTAAGTTATTGTTTATTATAAGTTTTTGTCTAATAAATCTGCATACTATTTTTTAAGAAATATATTTATTGCATGTTTAGTGATATCTTTAGCTCTGGTCCCCCATTACTTTGTTATTTAAATGGAAAACTAATTTTGCTATTTGTATTTGTCAACAGGCATTCGTTGAAAAGCGTTTAAAGGCCACCTGGGACTGGATGTTTACGGTAATGGATGGTACTGAGGCTCAGCTAAAGTTTGGAGCTTACTTGACCAACTACACCGATCCCAACCACCCACTGCATCCGCTCAATCTCAGTGCTCAGGCTTCGAGTAGTCAGGCACCGGCTCCTGCCGCCTCAACGTCCGTTGGTGTAAACATGATTGGTGAGTGTAGAGCGTGCTGAGGTCGCGAGTTGTTAATTACAATTCATGTATATCTGACTAGGATCTAATTCACGGCGCGACTTTTTCACCTACTGCCTATCACTGATGCGGGCCCACACGTCCGAGCACAGGGACGCTCTGCCAGTACTGGATATAACTGCCCTGCGTCATATAGCATACGTACTTGACGCCTTCGTTTACTACATGCGGAATGACACGGGCTTCTATGACAAGCAAGAGACCATCTCCGGACGCGTAAACAATTTATCATCGCCCATGGTAGAGAGCTACGATACAGATGATGAGCTAACCAATCTGGAGGACTACAGTGCTGAGGCACAGCCGTCGACTAGCAGCAATCTGCCTGCCAGCAGCATGGGCACTCGTCGACACACTTTCTTTGCACGATCGGAATCCACATTGAGCCTGGGTTGCTCGGCGCCAGAAGGGTTCGATCTTCCTTTGGACATGGCCATGCCGCTGGCCGACAAACCTCACTTGCTGCAGCCAAACTCAAAGCGTCAGGAGCTATTTGCCAACCTGCCACTGTTGGTAACAACGAGTGCAAACAATGGCAGCAATCCCAACGCAAGCGGCAGCGACAGCACCATTGATTATCCGCCCACAAGGCTGGGATTTTCAAATTCCTTGAGAAGGAATGACGAGCATGTTTATGAAACAGTTTCGGCTAGAAATCAACAGCAGCCCATGGAAGTAACAATCAATGTAGAGCCTAGCAAGACGCCGGGTGATGGAAATGCAACATATAAGGCTGAGGGCTCATCTGCTGACTCTAATATCTACGTACAATTAAAGAAGAAACAGGGTTCAGATGACTTCAAGTCCCACAAAGAAGCTGATGGTGAGTATTCGCAATGAAATGAAAATATTTCAAAAATAGGGTATCATTATTTTTGTATTGCAGGTAACCACGGCAAGTTCGATAAAGTTGTTTTAATGGAAACCGATGATGTTCCCAGTACAAGCAAATCGACAGAGGCCTTAATGGCCACTCGGCCTGAAGTTATCATAGCTCCAAATAAGACCACCTCCTGCTCCTCACTGACTTCAGCGAATGCTGCAGCTCGTAGTGTTATAGTTTTGGCAGGCGGATCGTGTCTGAAATCGGTCGACTCGGACATGAATGCGTCGCCTTCCGCTGCAAATTTATGTGCTGAACAGGCCAAATGTGATACACATCATCAGAAGTCAGCGCCGCCACATCATTCGCTATGTTTTCCAGGTCGCGGCTCTCTGTTTTACCAAAGTAGCTACTCGGAATTGCCTTCGTGGAACTTTTTGTTAAGTCGTTGGAAACTAACATTAGATTTATTTGGACGCGTCTTTATGGACGATGTGGGCATGGAGCACGGATCTGTTTTGCCGGAATTGCGCGGTTTTCCCGTTAAGGAAATGCGTTTCCGACGCCACATGGAAAAGCTGCGCAACGGCCAACAGCGTGACTTGGTGCTATGCAAACTGGAGAGAAACCGCGAGAGCTTGATTGTTCAAACGTTCAAGGAACTGAATACCCAATTTGGCAGCCAAAACCGACGGTCACAGCCACCAATCACGTTCAACCGCGTTAAGGTGACGTTCAAGGATGAGCCAGGCGAAGGATCTGGCGTGGCCCGCAGCTTCTACACATCAATTGCCGAGGCCCTGCTGGCCAATGCGAAAATCCCCAGCCTTGAGGCAGTGCAGGTGGGCAACAGCCACACCAAGTACGGAGTGCCCTTCTCGAGCATCCTGCGTAGTAGAACAGTGTCGGGATCTAGTCGTGATCAGTTGACGCCACAGAGGCGTGGGACCAGCAGCAAAATATTGTGGAGATCGGCTCGTGAAAGGAAGGTCCTTAACTTGGACGCAAGGCCATATACGCCAATAAATAATTCAGGTAAGATGGGCTATCCTTAAGCTCGTTTTGGTCTTTGTTTAATGCTCTTTTCTTCTAAAAAGCTTTTAATAATACATGTATTCATTTTATATTTTTTCTAGATAATGCTTTGGCGGAAGGCATGAACGATCATTTGTCGGTCCATCTGCAGCAGCTTGGAGAACGCTTGTATCCTAAGGTGGGTTAGTGATGCTCTCAAAAAGCAGTTGTTAATATAACATGATTTTCTCTCAACAGATCCATTCGATAAACCAAACGCACGCGCCGAAAATTACAGGAATGCTACTAGAGATACCAACGCCACAGCTTCTGTCTGTGGTCTCGTCAGATGAGACGTTACGTCAAAAAGTAAACGAGGCGATCGAAATTATAACCTTTAAACAGAAAACTGACGCGAGTACACAAAGTAGTCAGCCAAAAAAATCACCTTCTGTGGTGTTGGTGGAGCCCGCCGATGACGATAATGAACCATTATTCTACTCACCGGGCAAGCGGGGCTTCTATACGCCACGACAAGGCTTTGCATCGTTTGAGCGCATAAATGCATTTAGAAATATCGGAAGGTAAAGTGACTCTACATACGTGATGGTTTTCAGTGTATTTATCAATTTTTTTCCCTTCGACGCAGACTCATTGGACTTTGTCTGTTGCAAAATGAATTGCTTCCGCTGTTCCTGCAGAGACATGTATTGAAATATATCCTTGGGCGTAAAATTAAGTTCCACGACCTGGCATTTTTCGATCCAACATTATACGAATCTTTTAGGCAAATTATTCAAACAGCCCTGACAAAAGACGGCGATGATACCATTAGTCGAATGGAGCTATGCTTTGTGTAAGTTACTCTCGTTTGTTGAAAATGTTACAGAGATGCCAAATAGGAATCCTTTTATAATTCTAGGATTGATTTGATGAAAGAGGAGGGCTGTGGCAACAGGGAGCTAATCCCGGGAGGTCGCGATGTGGCAGTTACCGCTAACAACATATTTGAGTACATAAGACGCTATACGGAATATAGATTGATTAAGTCACAGGAAAAGGCACTTGAGGTAAGTTCTAGGGAGGAAAGAAAGTATTGGTATATCGATGATTTAGCGTTGCAAATTCGATTTAATTCGAATATATAAAGTCCCTTTTATAGTAATATATGGTTTCATTGCAGGCACTAAAAGACGGCGTCTTTGACGTTCTGCCCGATACCAGTATGAACAGCCTAACGGCTGAGGATTTGCGGCTGCTGCTGAACGGTGTCGGTGATATAAATGTTTCAACATTGATTTCGTACACCACCTTTAACGATGAATCTAGCGAGGGTCCGGATAAACTATTAAAATTTAAGAAATGGTTTTGGAGTATTGTTGAAAAAATGAATATTTTGGAGCGCCAAGATTTGGTAAGAGCAAACAAATTTAAATTAACGAAACGAGTTGGATAAAGTTTTTTTTTTTTTGTTTCTCTCTAGGTGTACTTTTGGACTGGCTCTCCTGCTCTGCCGGCATCGGAAGAGGGATTCCAACCCCTGCCATCGGTGACCATTAGGCCTGCAGATGACTCTCATCTACCGACTGCGAATACGTGTATATCTCGGCTGTATATCCCCCTGTACTCCAGCAAATCAATTTTACGCAGTAAAATGCTGATGGCCATTAAATCCAAAAACTTTGGATTTGTTTAAGCAAATGAAACACACTTTTCCCATGTGTAGAAGTTTTGAATTCGTTTCTAGGTTTTCTTTAACTCTTTTGACTTGTCATATTTAATCACACCATTCCCATTTCTGAATTATAATTTCTTTTAAAATTATATATTTTTTCTTACTACTTTCGAAAACTTGCGTAATATCATTCGAAGCGATTGGCGTTGGTCATAACTGATAACTGATAACATCTGGTCTGGTCTGACCGTTTAGTAAAAACATAAAGTTTCCAGACAACAAAAAAAAAAAACAAATGTAACCAGGAAAACGGCCAATTAGGTATTAGGAAGCCTATGTTTTTTGAAGTATGACTTATGCACATGTATATTTATCGATATCAATTCAATAGAAACTTGAAATAAACAATAAACTATAAGTCCATATGGAAATTATGTATAATACAAAATGGATTGTATTTTCTTGGTTTTATTATGGAGAAATAAATCTTAGCTCCTTGCATAATCTCTGTGATTGAAACAAGCGAAAAGGCGTAAGTCGCACCTTGTACTTTTCAATTCGGGAATCAATCATAGCGGTGAAGATGCATTTCATAATTTGAGCAACTAAATGCAAATACTCTAGATCATTTATATGGCAGATGGAAAGAGACATTTATGAGTTTTATATTATTAAACATTTATAAGTTTATTTAAATAATTTTACTTAAATTTTTTGAAAATAATGTTGTTTTAGAAGTTTTCAAGCTTTTTACTTTCTTTAGGAAACAAAACATTATATTAAATCCGCCAATTAGACTTGATCGCTATTTTCTGTTAGATCAAACTTCATTTATTCTGTTATACATAAAGTGCTCTGGCTGGCACTTATTTAAATTTTATTACTAATATTTAGAACCGTAATACAGTTTAGACTAATGGTCACTACATACGCCATTTCCTGGAAACACAATATTATCTTACATTTCTATCCTAATGCATAAGGTACATTGGACAAGCTAATTCGAGTTTTTAGGTTAAAAAAAAAAAAACAATAAAAATTAAACATTGGGTGATGCGATTATTCAATTATCATAGAAAATTTCTCAACTTCTTCGCACTCCTTGTTGAAACTGGTAATAAATTCCTGCAATTTAGCCTCATGCTGGGCATCCTTGCGTGGTCGTTTCAATTGCTGTTTCTTCTGCGGAGATTCGATGCTGCTATCCTGCAAGTCCTGCTCGCACTCATCCTCAGACGAATCGGTGTCGATGTACAACACATGCACTCGCTGCTTTCGCTTACGTTTGGGTCGCTCCTTCACATAAGTTCGCCTGGGTTTCTGTTGATTATTTGGAAATTGATACAAGTAATTAGTTTATATTCTTTAATACAAATGATAATGATAATATAAATGATAATCAGTGAAGTTCTCCAATTCTGAACTACTTATGGATGGTGTACATGTAATTTTTATTTGTGCGAGCAGCTTACTACCGAACAAAGATAGGTTTGCTTCTTTGCGGCCCTGTTGGCTCAACTGAGACTGTTAACAGGTCTCAGTTTATATTAATCTGGCGTTTAATGGGTCAATGACGAAGCTTGGAATTGTAAAACCTCGACATCTTCCTAACGCTCAAAGAAAGGTAATATAATAAGTCTTTAATGGATGCCCAGTCTTTTTCCCTTTTTCCGGGAAGGTAAAGAAGATAGAAAACCCAACTTTCAGGGTAATCTAATTTAAATCCTTATATTGTGCAAGCGACTTACTACCGAACAAAGATAGGCTTGTATCTTTGCGGCCCTGTTGGCTCAACTGAGACTATTAACAGGTCTCAATTTATATTAATCTGGCGCTTATTGTGTCAATGACGAGACTGCGTAGTATCGACATCTTCATAGCGCTCAACAATGAAAACAAAAATTAGATTTACCTTTTTGTCAAATGTTGTCTCCAGTTCAGCTTCATCCCTAAACAATCCAATTGTTTCGTCTGCAGCCAGTGCAGGTTTTCTTCTCGGTGGCTGTTGGTGTTGTATCATCGTGGAGCACATAACTTGCCTGATATCCGGCTGACATAGTGGCACCTCCCCAAAGCAATCGTGTCGCGGCGAATCGGAGGATGACTTTGGCAGCTCAATGTCCATGGGCCGCAGATCTCCCAGTCGGTGAAGCTTATCATGCAAACTTTCGTTTTGAGTCAAGGTTGATGTGGGTGCTGTCACTACTTCGTTCTCTGTAAGAAATTCCTCAAAGCCAAAGAGATTTCGGGAGCTGGACACGGGCGGTTCAGTGGGATTCGTCGGTCGATCTTCACATGGCAAAATCTCGTCATATCCGAATAGATTCGCTCGCGTCTGACTGCGCTGTGGAATGGGCGATGCAGTGGCCACATTGGGTGAACTGTTTCCTTTCGAGGGAGTGGCTTGCACATTCTTTTTCCATGACGGCAGAACCACCACTTCCAAAATGTTTATGTCTTGGAAGGGCCTGCGCTTCTGCATACTCTTCCTGGGATTTGGCAAGTGGACAAAGTTCTCAGCATCCTCCGAATTCTCCGCGTTCTCCTGTTCATTGGGTACTAGTGTTTGGCTGGCCGGGGGTGGCGGCATATTCTCCTGATTAGAGTCGTCCGCAGTGGGGCTAGGGTCGTGTAAGGTGTTGCAGAAGCTATTCTCCTCTATCACAGGGGCCGCGTCTTCTTCCTGTCCTTGTGTGTCCGGCACATAGACGTGGCGCGGTCGTTGCGCATGGTCACTTGAGTATGATGGCAGATTGGAGGTATTAAAGCCAAACATGAATGTATTTGGCATTGCTGACTGGTCGGAAACGCGCCAAGGGGAAGCACCTCCTCCCGGACTCGCTGTTGAATTTGGCGGAAGACGCGGTATTGGGGATATGACATGGGTCGTTGAATTGGCTTCGGGTGCCGTAACAGCCTTGCGATTCAGCGGCGTGCTGATAAACTGGCGAGCCATGTTCAGCAAGTCGCGACGCCTACTTGACGATGTTTTCTCATCTTGAGCCTTGGTCTGATTTAACAGCACAGAACGAGCCAAATGGCTGTAGGCCCCATCGCTGGTATGCTTAGAAGTATTACTCTGGACTGAAGGTTCCGGTGGCGCATGAACCTGAACGGCTACTTGAATGGGCTCAGTGAAGACTTCATCCGCATTATTACTGAAATCATCCTCGGGCTCATAAATGGGCGACAGGGCACGTGCAGCTTCCCGCTGCCTCAACGGTCTGGGTTTCTTGGCTTTAGTGTTGGCAGTTTTTCCAGCCAGATTTTCTAGAGAGCATTGTTTCCGCTTTCCCTTTAGCCGCCTTTTAATTAGTTTTCCACCCATCTTAGAGGGGACCATCACGCAGGCCTTGCCATTCTCCACTAGGCGCTGGATTATGTCCGCGGCCGGATCCTCCCTAGTATTATCATCTTCGATCTGGGACTGCGAGAGAAACTCGTAAACATTGCGGGTTACAGAGGACCTGGATCTCGTTGGCGGCAGATCTCTGTGAAAGAAGCGAGTCTTTTTTATTGTCGAATTCTCCGGTTTGGTGGGGCTTTTTTTCTTTATTTGTTTGGGGCCTGTAAATAAAATTATTTTTTACAGAAACGTCCTTCACTACAGCTGTACGGCTGCACTTACCCGACGACACCTTTGGCACGGTGGCTGAAGGCTTCGGTTTTGAACCCCTCGTCTTGGGAGCACACATCGTGGAGTTGCGAGCAGGCTCAAATGCGCTATCATCAAGATAGACTTCCCCTGATACGGGGCATTCTAGAAATTTCAAGCGCTTTATTTTAACTACGCATTTTCGAAGGCGACTCGGCGGCTTTGGTGGGGCTGACGAAATTCCTCCACCTGCATCCTTCGGCGAGGTTTTTCCGGATCTTCTCTCACTGCTCGCCCCCACAGGTAAAACGCACGGCGCAGCCCTAGCCCTTGTTTTAACCATTTTAATTGATTTTTTAATTTAAAAATTAGTTTAGGTGCATTTCGTGGACACTGTACAGTTGAGCGGGTCGATAACATAATCGATAGTCCTGCTTCGATAGATAGTGTGGAAAATGACTGTAATATCGATATTTTTTAGTTTTCAAATAATTTTCTGAAATAGTATTCAAATAAAAATTATGATATATATGTAAATCTTTTTTTATTTTTACCTTTTTTCTGTACTTTTCAGTACTTAAACCTTAAAAACCTCTTGCCAAAATACCAACTGCGTTGCCAGACCATCTGGCAGCTCTGCTGCAACCACACTTTCCAACACTGGCCAGAACCAGATGATTGAGTTCGCAATAATGTAAAAAAATAAATAATTAGATATTTCCAAATAATCCAAATTCCAAATTCGTTGCATTCGCGTGCGTGTTTGTGTCGCTGGACTACAAACCTACAAACTACAAAGCTACAAGTACAGCAGGCAAATAAGAAAACGGAAAATCCCAAAATCGTATCGAGTGAAAGTTTTCCCGTCTTTGTTTTGTAATTGTAATTTTCCTGCACTTGCCTGCCAGCCCGCATTACTGGCAATATTGGACGCTGCTGCGGGCGCGGGTGGCTGACAGTGATTATAGCAAAAAAGATTTAGTTATATAGCAATCGGTGGCCAATATATTGGCCCTATTGTGATTTTGCTGGCTGTGTGACAGTGTTATATATTTAAATCGAATCAAATCGCAGTCGCGTTTTCTGGGACTGCTGCAAAAGGCCTTGCGAACTTCTGCGCCAGGTACTGTGGACGGGACGAGCTGTGGGTAGCGGGGTGGGTGGTTGGGTACGGCGGAAGAGGACAAGTCCCAATAAGAAACTAGCGCGAAAACCCCCTTGCACTGCACCCCTTGCATACATACATACATACACATACTAAATGCCTAGGTGCATCACACACACGTAAAAACATATACATACGTATGCACATACCCACCACGAGCGAATAATGGCAACAAACAATTGCGAGCGACCCCGCCGTAGTAGTACCAATACCAGTGCCCAAGTGCCCCAATCCCAGGAAAAGCGACTGAGGCAGAGGCAAAGCCAGAGACAGAGGCGGGGACCGAGACCCCGAAGGCTGACTGTGACGACACCATGGCAAATCGAGCCAATTGCAGATGTATCTGTGGCTGTATCTGCGAATTATGTCTCAGGGTCAAGGACACTGCTTGCTACCCCGTTGTTTGACCTTATTAACAAGAATTTCCATTCGCGCGACACGCAAGAAAGAGAATCCTAATACCCTTATTCCTAGATGACAGTTGTCCTACAAACTCCTTCAAAAGCTTGACTATTATCCTGCCCTCTGAGTGAGCGAGTGGCGTTTAAAATAAGATTTTTTTTATAGATTATAAAGTAAATAAGGTAGACTGCTTGATTTATTTATTGACAAGATAGTAGAGGTTCACTAGGAAACCGTTAAAGACTGGCGTAGGCTTATTAAGGCTACCGTTCTTAGAGTTCATTTCAAGGAGAATAAAGGAACTAAGGGCCAAAGAACTGTACTCGTTACTCAACAAACAACCATTCATTGACAGAGCAACTACATCACTGGCTGGCTCCGCGCACAAAACGATGTGCGATACCAAAGACGATGCTCAGAAATGGAAATGTGAAATTTGCACCTACGAAAACTATCCATCCTCGCTGAAATGCACCATGTGCCAGGCGTCGAAGCCGTTGCTCAACGAGGACATCTTCAGGTGAAGCAATCCTACTCTTTAATTTTTTATTTTATTTATTTATATTTTTAATTTTCCCCTGCAGGCTGAGTCCCGCCGCCCAGGAGAGCAGTGCTGTCGCGGAGGAAGCAGCTGCTGTTGAGCCCACGCCCACGTCCACTTGCTACTCGCTCCAGCCGCAGCAGAACCAAGCGAGGCAGAGCAACGTGGCGGACAGCGAAAAGTGGCCCTGCAAGGTCTGCACCTATCTTAACTGGCCACGTAGCCTGCGCTGCGTCCAGTGCTGCACGAAGCGGGGCGGCGAGGCCATTGAGCGCGGCAGCGACAAGAATAACGAGGCGGATGCTGATCGGACTGGCGAGGCGTTGCAGGCACTCCGCATCAGTGGAACGGATACGGAGCTCGGGGGATGCATCACAGAGAATCTGGCTAACAAGCCAGCAGCCCAGCTGATCGGGGCCACAGCCTCGAATCGGCTGAACCTTAGTCCGAGCATTGACGATGCCACGCACCTGAACAATCTCGCCAATGCATCCAACAACCAGTGCCGTTCGCAGTCCCAGAACCATCAGCCTGCCCAGCTGCAGCTTCAGCAGCAACAGCGGGAGTCCTCATCCTCAGCCACTGACGCGCCGCAGCAGAAGCCGTGCTATGTGGCCAAATGGGCGTGTAATGTAGGTTTAGTCGAGGCTGGCGTACTTCCATTACCTTTACTGAATCTCTTCCTTACAGTCGTGCACCTACGAAAACTGGCCTAGGAGCATCAAGTGCTCCATGTGCGGCAAGACAAGGGAGCGAGAGGTCAGTGGATCGCAGAACGACTTGCATGCCTCCTCAAGTCTGAACATCCAAGAGGAGCACCAGCAACATCAGCAGCAGCAGCAGCTACAACTGCAGCAGCAAGGCGTGGACACCGTCAGTGTCAACAACTCATTCAATAAGAAGCACATTTACCAACTTGGTAAGCTCTTCCGTGCCTAGCTTTATTCTAAGCTTTATTTATATTTAATTGCTGATTTTCAGGTTCCTCTGAAACCATCAACAACTGTGATACGCTGCAAGAGCGACAGGAGCGCCGCCAGCGTCAAATTCGACGCCAGGTGGATTGGCAGTGGCTGAACGCTTGTCTGGGCGTAGTGGAAAACAACTATAGCGCCGTGGAGGCCTATCTCTCCTGCGGCGGCAATCCGGCCCGCTCTCTGACTAGCACTGAGATCGCTGCTCTCAACCGTAATTCGGCCTTTGACGTGGGTCACACCCTCATCCATCTGGCCATACGATTCCATCGCGAGGAAATGCTGCCCATGCTGCTGGCTCAGATCTCTGGCTCGGGGCCAGGCATCAAGCGCGTGCCGTCCTATGTTGCCCCCGACTTGGCGGCCGATATCCGTCGCCATTTTGCCAACACCCTGCGCCTGCGCAAGTCCGGCCTTCCCTGCCACTATGTGCAAAAGCATGCCACCTTCGCCCTACCCGCCGAGATCGAGGAGCTGCCGATCCCGATTCAGGAGCAGCTCTACGACGAGCTGCTTGATCGCGACGCCCAAAAGCAGCTGGAAACGCCGCCGCCAGCTCTGAACTGGTCGCTGGAGATCACGGCTCGGCTTAGCTCTAGGATGTTTGTCCTTTGGAACCGGAGCGCTGGCGATTGCCTTTTGGACTCCGCCATGCAGGCCACTTGGGGCGTCTTCGATCGCGACAACATCCTGAGGCGGGCACTCGCGGATACACTGCACCAGTGTGGTCATGTGTAAGTAGAATTACAGAAGGAGAAATGCATAGGCCTTGATGTTTGTCCTTAGGTTCTTTACTCGTTGGAAAGAGTACGAGATGCTGCAGGCCTCGATGCTTCACTTTACGCTGGAGGACTCACAGTTTGAGGAGGACTGGAGCACACTTCTATCGCTAGCCAGCCAGCCAGGCTCGTCCCTGGAACAGCTGCACATCTTTGCGCTGGCGCACATCCTCCGGCGTCCAATTATCGTGTACGGCGTCAAGTATGTAAAGAGTTTTCGCGGCGAAGACATCGGTTATGCGCGTTTCGAAGGTGATTCCTTTTACCATTTTCTAAATTACAATTGAGTTAATCGGCTGGGCTTTCAGGTGTCTATTTACCTTTACTCTGGGATCAAAACTTCTGCACCAAGTCACCCATCGCCCTGGGATATACCCGCGGTCATTTTAGCGCCCTGGTGCCGATGGAACCATTCACAAGAATCGATGGACGGCGTGACGACGTGGAGGATGTCACATACTTGCCGCTAATGGATTGTGAGCTGAAACTGTTGCCTATCCATTTCCTCACCCAGTCCGAGGTAAGGGAATAATAATTTGAAAAATATAACGTTTTTTCTACGAGAATTCTATCTTTTTGCAGGTGGGTAACGAAGAGACCATGATGCGCCAGTGGCTTGACGTGTGCGTTACCGATGGCGGTCTCCTTGTGGCGCAGCAGAAGCTCAGCAAACGACCTCTGCTGGTGGCTCAGATGCTAGAGGAGTGGCTCAACCACTACCGCCGCATTGCGTAAGTACGACTTGAGCGATTGCCAAAAATGATCTTGCTGATTGTGTGTTTTTTTCGTATTTATTTATTTTGGTTTGCAGACAAGTGATAACGGCGCCCTACATTCGTCGCCCCCAAATCACACACTACTCCAGTGACGGTGACTCGGATGAGGAATAGATGCAATGCGTCTGCTCCTGCGTATATATTTGAATACCAATATTTTGTACTTTCTGCGATCGATGACAGCAGATGCGGATGTTGAATTGAGATGGACACGTGCAGATCCTACACATACACTTGCACCCCCAGTTAGCTAATGGAAACTATAGAGAATGCAAAGTGAATACCATATATGCGGGCAGTTGAAAGAGTTGTAGTTGTAACTAAATTGAAAGCAAAGCAAAGCAAACCAAACTAAAGCTTGAGCCGCAATGTACGAAAATACATTGATCGGCGTATGTAAATCATATCCGTTCCCAATTCAACGTTTGTTGATTTTAGTCAAATTTATACATACTGCGTCGACCAGAGGAGACAGAGAAAGCGAAAGCGAAAGAGCATATATGTACGTAGTAAACGAAATTGAAGCTATACACTATACTAGTAGGTCTAATTACACTCACATTTGAAACAATCCATTTATTGAATACGTGGTCGTATTTGAAGTAGAAACTGAGGAAGGCATAGGAGAAGGCATCCCCTGAATGTGGGCTTGAATTATTGAAAATCTCGATGTACTATTAAATTTTATTGGGTGGCACTCACACACGCAACATTACATTATCGTGGGTGAATTATGAAAGTTTCTGATGCAGCGTCATTGAAGGGTTTATTGATAGTTTTTAAAACACTTTTTGGAATTATGAATCATTATACATTCATGCCTATACATATAATATATTTAATTATATATAAATATATATATATATAACATATATAGAGATCCTATGGTTCTAAAGAGTTGAACAAAGGGCCAATAACATAATGAATTTTATTCTAACTGTATTATAAATGGAATTTTATCTCATTATTATTTTTGTTAGTAATGTTATTACAATTATTATTATTATTATTACTACATTCTAAGGAAGCTTATTGTGCAAATGTACACGCAAAACGCATGAAAAACAAAACTTATTTAAATAAAAAGTTTTAAGTAAAGATTTAAATGGAATTCAGGTTACATATTTCGTGGTGGGAATTAATCAGGACTTATATTTAAATTCAAACTCTTTTATTTCATTAACGAATGAGTGTTCTACAAGAATTGCTTAAGATTTAAATTAAAGATTTTATGGAGAGTTTTTACCAATAATGAAGAAAAAGAAGGAAATTTATGATATAGGGTGAGATATCTGGACCTAAAGCTTGCTCGCGTAAGAGGGAGAGGACAATAATGATTTTCGGTTCCACATTGCAATGCATTTTTATTGGTTTCAAAATAAAATAAAAATATAATAATAAATAAATTATATTATATTTTACTTTCTTTATTTGGAATATATATTTTATTTTTAAGTTAATATCAGGCCAATTGGACATCGAATTTAGCGCGTATCTATTGCTGCCAACTTGCTTTCTGATACGAGCTAGAGATGGGTGCGGCACGGGTTTTTATTACCGTGCCGTGAAGTCGCACGCGTTCACCTCACGCGCCTATCTCTAGGCCGAATCGCCGTATCTCTCAGATACTTATTCGTTTCGGTTTCGTTGCTGCTGTCGGTGTCGTTGCGTTGTTGCTGCTGGTGCGGTGTTTTTTCTGGTCGCAGCTCCGATTGAGAATAAGAATCAGACGAGTTAAAATATAAGTAATAGCTTCATCGGTCCCACGAGCGAAATACGCACCAAAATCGATCGGAAAGACGTCTTTTTTGAACACACACCGCCCGACCACTCTCTGACACTCACACTCACACTGAAAGAATCGCGCTACGCAGATTGCGAATGCATACGGCGAAAGATACAAATAGAAAAAATCTAAGCAGAAGAAAAATTTTGTTAGTGAAGTGAAGAGGAAGTAGTGGTGACCTGTGCGCGTGTATTTGTGCTTTCCTCGTGCGTGTCATCTCGTCTGTGTGGTGCTCCTCTCTGTGTGTGTTTCCCTCCCCCATTTTGCAGGCGCGAGTGCGAAGAGCATAGCAGTAGCTGTATCTCGCCATGGGTAAGTTATCTGCCGACACCGATACTCTCTCTCTAACTAACGCTCCTGTGTGCCGTGTGTGTGTCTGCGCAATGCCAACGCCAGGGGGTGGTGGGTGCTCCGATAGCAGCATTATGGCATTATCGGCATTAGCAGGGTATCGTATCGGGAGTGGTTATGAACCTGTGCGAGGTGGTGCTCTCATATTTTCCCTGTACTCTCCCACACGTACTCATCAATCAATACCACTGCTGGCCAGCTGAGAGCGCTGGATCTTCTCTCTAGCACGGCCACCGCTACCGCTCCTGCTCCCACTCACTCACACCACCGCACGGTCGCATATGATTCCACGTCCACTCCCTATTTTAATTTCTCAGCTGCGACTGTGGCGATGACGTCAGTGTTGTTGTAAGAACAAGTTTCGTGTTTTCCCCTTTGAATTTTATTTCTTATGTTACGCCCCAAATCGAGGTGAGGCGGCAGGGAGCGTCCGAAAACCTGACCGAATAAACCTCAAAGTGCTTGTGCATGCAACTGCAATTACATTACACACGATACCGTTAGGCCGCCCCGCCGCGTGAGAGCGGCTCTGCTCTCGAATAACCTGTAAACCAGTAAACCCCGTTCGATGTGAATGAGCTTTTTTTTTATTCTTACATTTTCTGAGTTCTCCGGTTGCCGCTGCAAAGGGCTTTTCTACCGTTATCCGAGACATGTACTCGTACTTGTATTGTCAATGATTAATTACTCGAATACTCCGCTACTGTCCCTAATTGAGTTCATGTGCATACACTGAGAAGCCTGAAGATTCATTTTTAAAAGAGAAATATGAAAAAAAAGGTTAAAGTCAGTTAGAAATTATACCAAAATATTAAAGAATCATGCAGCTTAAAGTTAATAATGATCGAATAATCCCTCTTTATCGTATAGATTTCTTAATAACAGTATTGTTGGGGGTCAATCTGTGTTAAAATGATGATGTTTCGGGTTATTTAATAAAATTAAGTTGATTAACTTTAATAATATTCATAAAAACCGTTTATAAGTGTAATTTTTTGGCCTAAGTATGCAAGATTTTTGTGAATGAATTCCCCTTGTGTTCGAATTTGTAGTTTATAAAGTATCAATCCATATAAAGTATCTTAAGTACTGAGATTTACAATCTGCACACCTCATTTTCTCCGAGTGGATTGAGCCTGGACTACAAGTAGTCGCATGCGTGCCTAAAATGCCTAATTGACTTGGACTTGATGGAGCCGGGAGAAGTGGACGTCGTTGTGGATGTGGCTATGGACCCCATAACGTGCAGTCGTTGCTCCTCTCCCCTAAAAGGCTCAACAATAGCCATCTAGAGTCTCCATCTCTGGCTAAAGCGGCAACAACTGCTCGACATGAACTCATGACAAGCACATTGACTTCCACTGGGTTTCCTTTTTCGTTTGCTCAAATGAAAATGAAAATGAAAGGGGTAGAGTCCCGTTCCCCCCATCTCCTCGATCCACCCCATCGTCACATCCCATCCATCCCGCGCTCATTCATTTAGTCGGATTTTTCTCATTTATTTTGTTCGTTGATTTGTTCGTGCCTGTTGTGCATTCGCCTGCATTTCGTAGTGTTTCGTAGCGTTTCCCAGGCGGGGTTATATGGGTCAGAGCACTTGCCTAGAAAGTGGCATCTCCTCTTATGTCTCGTGCTCACCCCCGCCACCTCCGTTGGCTCCTTCGCCTCGTTTTCCCCATTTTCCGCCCCTGCCCCCGCCTCAACCCGTCCACTTGCCTAATTGAATGCTATTTTCGTAGATGCAGCGTCATCAGCTGCACTTGTGTGTGGCGGTTGCTCTTTTCACTTTTCGTCTAATAAGCATACAGGAAGCACATTCAAATCGACCGAAGCACCGAACTTTGGGTGTACTTATATCTAAGTATGAGTGTATGTAGTATGTACGATGCGTCAGGTAGCACAGCATAAAAAAAACACTTGCAAAGCAATTTAAATTTGATGAGTAATGCGTGGAACACTTATGTATATACAGGCATAGCTGTGGTGATAGCATAGCTAGTATCTTAAACCAAATTGAATTTAATTTTAATATCAGCAAGCCTAAAATATCCTTCACTTGAACCATTGCATACTCTCTGGGGTCCCACTTCCTTTCTGCTCGAATCCTACATTTATTAAAAGAAAAGTAAATTTAAGTAATTAATTTAAAAAAAACGTCGATTTTAGTGAAAGGAGGAAGACTTGTTTTTGTCGACTTTCCATAATTATAAAACCCAATCTCAATAACAATAGAAGTAAGAGGCAAGCTTCCCATTAAAATTTCGTACCCTATTTTTGTGGCCACAGCTGTTAATTCGTTTATATTTTTTGCTCAATTTGTGTATTTTATGCTGTTGCTCTTCACAACTAAAAATGTTTGTGTGCGTATAAACAGAACCGCTCGTAGGTGGAGGAATCGTGGGCGTGGAATGCACAAGAGAGCGATGATGTTTGCTTTCGGTTTTATTTATTGTCTGCCAACTAGGCTCTTTTCCAGTCACGTCGGAGTGGCGTTGCCTGCCAGCTCACCTGCTTCCGCGTCTCGCCTTGACCTGCATTGTCCTCGACATTATCCTCCTGAAATTCAGTCAAGGATTTGACGCACTTGCTCTGGGGTGAACCCGCTCAGTGCGCATTGAGTGCATGTCGCGCCACTGACGAAGGTCGTTGTCTATTTTTTTTCGCTCTGGCTCTATAGCTTTTCCAATTCGATTTTTTATACAACGGGAAAATTTTAAATATAAATAAGAAGAATAGGAATATTAGAACAATATAAAGATATGGATTCATCAATAAGAATGTGCCTTGATTGTGAGATACCCGCTACCCAAACATGACTTAATCTTTGGGTAATGGTATGCAAATTGTAATCTAAAATGGTGTTTGCACAAGTACAGCTTTTAGGTACATTTTGATGCCATACAAATTTGTTTTTCACTAAATGATTGTCTTAAGAACACATAAAAATACTTAATACCTTCAACAGACTGTAGACAAACAAATTTTATTTATTAAAGATTCATATAGGGTACTTAAACCCATTGGTTCGCTGAGTATTTCATAGAGATCAACCGATTCTGATTCTAAATCTGGTTTGCGATATTTTATTTTGTTTTGTAATGTTTTTCTGTAGGTTCCATATTTTCCTTCCCCACTTTTACTCTAAGGCTAGAGTCGCTCTTTGGGCGCGGCAAATGTTAATTAAAATATTTTCTCTGCCCTGCAGCTTGACCTCTCCGCATCGAATCGATGGGGTTCTGTGAGGCCTGTTTGAGAAATGCTAGGGTAACCTTGGACTTGCCCCCTGTGCGTCGGACGGGTTTTCATTATATTGTGTTTTCGGGTCGTGTTTTTGTATTGTTTGTTTGTATTTCAAATTCGAGCGTGTTCCACTATGGCCAGCCAGCCAGCGCCACCAACCAGTTTGTTTGCGGTTCCAAGTTGTGGCAGAGATACTCGCACTCGCACTCGTCCAACTCCGCAGCGAAAAGCTCTCGGCGGCGGCGGTCGATGGCGACGATGACATCACCAGTGCCAGCACTAAAATCGCTCTCCGCAATTACAATAAAAAAAAAATAAAATAAAACGAACCTAAAAGTGTGCGCTCAAACTTTTATTGTACTAACTTGAGCGGGGACGCCGCTTTGCCGGCTCTCTGTTGCATGAAGATTTGCAATTTGCAATGGATTTTGTTTCCCCATTAGCGGGCTAGTGCTAATGCGGGGAAAATGTGCTGAAAACCCAATAAACAAAGCGCCAAAATCAATATGTAAATCGCGGAAAAATGTGTGATTGCATAATAAACAAGCGAACACAGGCAGTCCCGAACATAAATGAAATTAATTAAAAGTAGCGAAACACGTACACGAAGTTTAAACAAACTCGCACACTTAGATACTATTTAGGTACAATCACGTAGTTTTCAGTAAGGTCGGAAGTCCACGTTAGTGACGAAAGCCCGCTTTTCGGGGTATTGTGTCTGTCGTAGTGCCCCTCTGGTGGAGCGATCAGGTCTGCTGTTATTCCGACTGGACCGCTCTGTGAAAAGTTTCGGTGGCGTCACCGCACAAATAAATATTCATTCTTAGCGTATATAATGTATTCAACATATATAGTGGGTTGTTTGTCAGATTAATTTGACCAAAAGATACGAGAATTAAGTTAAACATCAAACAAAGTTATTTATTTTGATATTAAAATGAACCCTGCATTGAACTGAAGGGTTGAAAGGCACTCCTCTTAGAGATAAAATAAGTTCAATGCACTTTTTTTCGGTTATAAGCTGTTGCAACTCGATAAAAGTGAGTCAAAGTCAAAGGAACCGAAGAATTTAATGTGTAGATCATAATTATGACATGATCAATTTACTTATTACAATAAATTTTTCAATCTCTTAACTGTAACAAACTTGCTTAACCCCTTAATACTCTTTTATCATATTGAATCTAAGATAATCTCTATATTCAATTGATCTCTACTAGAGATTTTCTGGTGGGAATTCCCATGAAAGAAAACTATAAGAAACCGTAATCGTCCAAAAAGGTTAGCCTCTCCTTAATGAAAAATTAGATAGCGGCTGTAGCTGGTCCCTATTTATTCGGTCTACGTCACTATTATAAAACAAGCTAACGGCACAGGCACATATACACCTGAGCTTATCAATATAATTTCTATTTTGGAAGCAACAACCCAAATATGAAAAGGCAACAGCTCCAGACCAGAATTGTGGAAAAACAAAAATCCGAAAGGCCTGAAAAAACAAAAGAGACAGCGAGACGCATAGAAAAAGTGTTCAGACAGCACAGCAAGCCATAATGCGGTTGGGCTTATGTACATTTATATATTTTTTTATATTCTCTTTTTATGTGCTGCAACCGGCTGCTTTTAGCTTTTGTTGTTCCGCTGTCTATTTAATCAACCGCAGACTAGTGAAGCCGCCTGCCCACCGGGTAGGCGAAAGAAGAAAGCCGCCAGAACAGATCGACTCATCAGTCATGGCCAACAATTAGTTCCAATGCGTTCTGCCGTCACGCTACTGTGCTCTTTCCCTGTATGTGAGGTCTTTGAAAGGCCCGAGGCTTCAGAGAGTGTATGGAACACAACGGTTTTGGGGTCAAAATAATATACACAACACATAAAATATAATAATTATGATTACTAATTACGTTTTGAGTGGTATTTGAGTACCAAAATATTAAACAAACTTTTAATGGTAAAGTAACTTCTTTAGGCTTCTTTCTAAATTGGTAGTAACATTGTTAAATTTATATGAATTCCCATTTTATTTTCTTCGGAAAAGATCGTCCTTCTTTATAGCAAGAGATATAAAGAACGTGTTGAGCAAATATGGGATACAGTCACTTCATTGATCAAATATGTGATAAGACTTGTAGTTATCAACGTGACTTTCATCAAATAAACCAGCTACAAAAAAAAAAAAGTGCAATGCTTGCCTTCCGAGAAATTTGGGTTTATGGGTTTATTTTCTGAGATTCTGTAAAAATGACAATTTTGACCCCATCTCAAATTCTTTGGAGGTCTTTTCGCTCAGCCACAAACAGGTTGTCTTGCCTGCTGAGTAGGGTTTGCGTTTCACCCCATTCACAGCAGTTTTTTTCTTTAAATTGTTGGGGTATTTCCCATACATTATACACATGTAGTATGTGATATATAAACATGCAAATGTCGGATCTATTTAACCTGCTCCCCACTTGTGTGTACATTGACAAAGCGCCAATGTATGGGTTGGTTTTATATAAAAGGAATATGAGTATGTGCTGCCCTTGGCCTTATCAATGATAAGATTAATTGCTTGCCAGCCGTGTGAGTCATGAACTTAAGAACGGTATACATATATATGTAGAAGAGTTGCCTGCCTGAGACTGTCAATATAAAACACACGTATATACAAACAAACTGTTCGGGACACTATATTGTAACGAATCTCAGTGGTGGACATACGATACCTATATATTTTGTGCTGAAACAACATATACAAACAAACAAATATGTCCCCTCACACATACTGTGGGACGGGGCTTCGAACTGAGCGCGACGAAACGGGGCAAGGTTGGGGCATTATCGCATCACATGCATATGACATCAGCGCAACACTGCGTATACGTAATCTGGCGATACCACTGATTGAATGAATTGAATTAACAGCGACCGTCAACCCCACTAATCGGTGATCCTCCTTCTGTCTCTTCTATTTTATAGGTAAGCAAAAAATCTACTGTGCGAAATGCACGAAAAAATGCTCCGGCGAGGTGCTCCGCGTGGCAGACAACCACTTCCACAAGGCCTGCTTCCAGTGCTGCCAGTGCAAGAAATCCCTGGCCACGGGCGGATTCTTCACAAAGGACAGTGCCTACTACTGCATACCGGACTACCAGCGCCTCTACGGCACCAAGTGCGCCAACTGCCAGCAGTACGTGGAGGGCGAGGTGGTCAGCACCATGGGCAAGACGTATCACCAAAAGTGCTTCACCTGCTCCAAGTGCAAGCAGCCCTTTAAGTCGGGCAGCAAGGTGAGTTTCAGTACCTTCTTATATACAGCAAAGTCTGAGGATAACCATATTCTTCCCTCTAAGGTAACCAATACCGGAAAGGAGGTGCTCTGCGAGCAGTGTGTTTCGGGTGCTCCAGTGTCGCCCAGTCGTCAGGCGGGTGGAGGAGGTGTCTCCTCGCCCGCTCCTCCGGCGGAGAGTCCCACGCGGGCCACGGCTCATCAGCAGCACGGCGGTGTGATTTCGCACAAGGCTCATCTCAAGGAGGACTATGATCCCAACGACTGTGCTGGATGCGGAGAGCTTTTGAAGGAGGGCCAGGCTCTGGTGGCCCTCGACAGGCAGTGGCACGTCTCCTGCTTCCGGTGCAAGGCCTGCCAGGTGGTGCTCAACGGAGAGTATATGGGCAAGGATGCGGTGCCCTACTGCGAGAAGTGCTACCAGAAGGGATTCGGGGTGAAGTGCGCCTACTGCAGTCGCTTCATTAGCGGCAAGGTGCTGCAGGCTGGCGATAATCACCACTTCCATCCAACCTGCGCCCGCTGCACCAAGTGCGGCGACCCCTTCGGCGATGGCGAGGAAATGTACCTGCAGGGTAGTGCCATCTGGCACCCACGATGCGGCCCGGGTCCCTCCGAGTCCGGCATTATTCTGAACGGAGGAGGCGGCGGTAGCACCTCGGTGGCCGGAGGCGCTTCTAATGGCAACTTCACGGACACCGAGTGCGACCGGATGAGCTCCAGTGCCCTCAGCGAGATGGTAGGTAGTAGTGGCTCTAACATGGATCCCAAAGGCCCAATATCCATATCCAGCAACAAAAAAGCACGAGAATCCAACACGATCCTGTTCTTTTTAAGCGGCTTTTGAGCTTGCTACTAATTTGAATGCTGCAAAGTAAAAACAAAAAGCACACACCAGCCATGAAAATCCACATTTCCACCATTTTCAACTGAACTGAGGGATATTTTTTTAAAACTACTCTGCAGAATATTATTTAAAATAATATTAGAACACTTTGATTTAAGCCGAAAGCATATGTTCTTTGTTGTTTTAGGCGTAAAATCGAGTTTATAATCGAACTAAATTTAAAAAAAAATATCTCTCTATGAGCCTCACACCCACTTTGCACAACCAACACATGCAATTTATGATTTTATAATTTGAAATTTCTTAGCATTTTAGTTGTTTTGAGCTTGCGTTTTTTATTTTCCGTTCGTTTTCAGTACATCCGTTCCAGAACACCGAGTTTTAATGGTTCACTTTATTCCTCTAGCCGCAAGGTTTGTTTTCTTTATGATTTTTATGATTTCCCATAATTTATGCCATCGTTTTTGAATTGTACTAAAAAAAGAAACCCCAAAACAAAAAACACTGCATGTAGAGGAGATGTAACCTGAACTGCGGACTAATGAGATTACCTTTACAGCACTATCGGACGGTCAGTCCCGGTCTGATACTCCGCGAGTATGGAAGACCCAATGCCGAGGACATCTCGCGAATCTATACCTACAGCTATCTGACGGATGCGCCACACTATCTGCGCAAGCCGATCGATCCTTATGACAAGACGCCGCTTTCGCCGCACTTTCACCGGCCCTCGTCCTACGCCGCCACCACGGCCAGCAATGCGGGATCCGTGGCCGGTAGCCGTCCTCCGTCGCGTCCCCACTCGAGGACACGCAGCGCCATGAAGGTCCTGGTGGATGCCATCCGCTCGGAGACGCCGCGGCCCAAGAGTCCCGGCATGAACAACGAGGAGCCCATAGAACTGTCCCACTATCCGGCTGCCAAGAAGCCGCCGCCGGGCGAGCAGCCCAAGATCGAGCGGGACGACTTCCCCGCTCCACCGTATCCGTACACGGATCCGGAGCGCCGGCGGCGGTACAGTGACACCTACAAGGGTGTACCCGTGTCCGATGACGAGGACGAGAATGGCAAGCAAACCAATGGCAATGCCAAGAACGGCGAGGAGCAGCAGTAAGTAGTCAAGCTAAGCGGTCCCAAGAAGTCTCTTATGTATTCGTAATCTTTACTAGACGCCTTCAACGCGAGGCCGAGCAGTTGGAGAAGCTGAACTCGGGAATTGGCTCAGCGATTGCCAAGGACCTCAAGGAGCATGCCAAGTATAGGAAGTGGAAGCAGAACAATCTGGATCCGCGCAACGCTTCCAGGACGCCTTCTGCTTCCAAGGAGCCGGTATACAAGTTGAGGTAGGTCGCCCGTAAAAGCCTGTATGAATAATCAGATATAAGTATGGCGATAACTCAGGTTGATCATGATTAATTCTTAGGTTTAACCAGTTTTAAAAAATAATTGTAATAGGAATTTACTTGCAATCTTTATTAGTTTAGCATTTTTATGGGTAGAAAAGTTAGTCTAAGCTATTTAAAGTAGCTTATCACTCGGCTTAACAGCTTATTAGCTGGTTTTATTATTTTAGTTTTTATTAGGTTTAAATATGGATCGATAAGATTGCAGTTTGCCAAGATTTAAATGCTGTACGATTGCCAGTTTTTTATTAAAACACCATTTCCTTTTTCTTATAGATACGAATCACCCATTGGGGCCTCACCCTCGCGCAATCTGGACCACCAGAAGCCCTTCTACGAGGACGAGATGTTTGATCGCTCCACCAGCTATCGCGGCTCGCTTGGCAAATCCTTGGGAAACGCGCCCAGTTACAATGGTAATCCTTTAGCCAGTAGAACGATCCTTGATCCGTAGTGTTTCAGGCGCGCGAATCGCTCGGCGATTCGAGTAGAAGTTACCGATATTTTATATATAGCCCAATTACGTTTATAGCCATACATTCCTACCGATCGCCGCCCAAACCCGGATACGGATTCAAAACGACGACTCTGCCCTATATACGCAACGGCTACAGCTCAGTAAGTGCTGCCTGTGTTGCTCTAGAAAAGATCCACCTTGGTGACGGGCTGTGTCAGTTATGTCTCGTAGCTTACATCTAATATACATGTAGCCTAGCCCTATGTAATCATAAGTTCTTGCTGACGGTACTCGTTTGTCTTTCTCTCACTCCTAATGCTGCCACTGGTCGCTCACACGGATAAACTAACAATATACTTGTCAACTGGTTGGTCTGCTGCTTCCTTGTGTGTCTAATCCTATGCTACTCCAATAAAATATCTATGTGTATGCTATTGTTGCCCTGACACCACCAACACAACTCCTCACCCATCCATAAAAAACTAACACCCATACACACTCTAAAACCGAACTTCAACTCAAACATTGCATCAACATGAACATCAACATCAACCACACCATCTACTCTGCCCAGTGGTGAGTGCGCTGCGCCATGTGCCAAAGCCAGGATACGGCCTGGCACCACGCTCCCACACATTCAGCTCCACCACATCTGCTGCGGCCACGATGCATGGTGCCACTGTAAGACCGCTTTGCTGTTGTTATGCCGTAGAAATCCCTTGAATTAAAACCCTTTTTAGTTAAGTTACATGTACTTCCTCCCTAATTTTGCCCTGGTTTTGGGTTTTTGTTTGTTAGTTTGCATGACATCTCAAGTTTTACGATGAGAAAACTAATTGAGAACTCTTCCTGTAGGATTTCTCGTATGGAGGTCTCGGCGACAAGACGCACAGCACGGATTTGAGCTGCGGCAAATCGGAGGGTGAGATTCGGATTTAACAATATTCATATCCCATTCTTATACAATCCATTCTGAACAGCTTCTGTGGACTCGATCACCGAGGGCGATAGACGCGCCCTTATGGGCGGAGACCTGCCCGCCTCAAGCACATACTCGGGGGCTCTCTCCTACCACTATCCGCAGGCCGGACTCATCCGTCGCAGTCTACCCAACATGGCCCACTCGATGCTGGTGCACGAGCCGGCAAAGATCTATCCCTATCACCTACTGCTTATTACAAACTATCGTCTGCCTTCTGACGTTGATCGCTGTAATCTGGAGGTGAGTTTGAATCGAAGATCTACTGGGGAATTTTAACTTTAAACCACTTTTGAATCCCTTTCAGCGTCATCTGTCAGACATTGAGTTCGAGCACATCTTGCAGTGCGCTAGGTCGGAGTTCTACAGGCTTCCCCAGTGGCGGCGTAACGAGCTGAAGCGCCGGGTGAAGCTCTTCTAAGAGCCCAGTTACCGCTGCCAGATGTGACGATGGCTATCCAAGTGGAGGCTGCACATGTGACGAAACCAAAAGAATTCAATTTACCTTAAACAGCCGAGGGTTATATGGATGAGAGGAGCAAACAATACAAAATGAAAACGAAATGGGAAACTATGCTAATTTCACAGCCAGTTTTGAAACACGCTTTAAATAAATAGTTGATGCAAGTGAAACCAACTAAACTAAATTTAACGAAACATAGTTACATTTACAGTGCGGAGCTGCCGGCGTGCGGCTCCAGTTTATTTTTTTAAGAATTAGTTGCGCTAAAGCAAAAATTGTAACTGAAAACTAAATATACATGCATACATGGTGTATATGCATATGGAAGGAACAGATGATCCCGAATAAAAACGAAGAGTATTCAGATTTCAATTAGTTAAACAATATGATCCGGCATGATCGCTTTTTATACGCAGTGCAAGCGCAAACACAAACTGGACCTATTTTCTAAATTACACTTTAATTCAGCCTAAGAATGATAAATGCATCAAAGAATGAGCAATTAATGTACCTACAGCAGAATCACACAGCAGCAAGCGCGAATCGTTAGATGTGTGGCATCAAAAATTTACGCTAAACCATTACGCAAATTTTATTTATTACTAAATATTTTATTTATTTAAATAGAATATGTCAAAGAATAAACCAGAGATAATAAAACAGGACAAAAGCAATGCCTCAACGTGATTACAATTATTTAAACATTTCAAGAGAGTGACGATTATTAGTAGCTTAGTTCTAGCTGGTGCTTCTTATCCTATGTCTAATTTCACTCTTACTCCTAAAGAAACACCAAGGGCTTAGTTCTTCGGTGTGATTTGTGTTCGGGACGCAATACGTAACTGGAATGTACGGTTCACAGAATAAATACGTAAATATTGAACTAGATTTCACAGAACATATCGAGATTCTCTATATGGATATATTGCACCATGGGTATGCCACTAGTGTTGCTTGTGAAGAGCCTCATCTGCTCGCAGACTATACGTAAGCTGGGTCTTCATCACCGACAGGCTGCTGCCGATGATCTTCTTGTGGTATATTTGCCGCGTGACGAAGCCAAAGTCGTCATAGAAGTCTCGCTCGCACTCCTGCCACTCGGACATTGTGCACTCCAGTGAGGCGTAGCCACCGCTGACGCAGTTCTTGGCCAGCAGCTTCACCATCGGACCCATGATTGTCTGGTAGGGATAGTTCGGCTCCAAAGCGAAGCGATAGATCCAGGCTGCATTGTAAACAGCATGATGGTTCTTCACACTAATCGCGGCCACAATCCGGCGACGGAATTTGTTCTTAACGGACTCCTCGTAGGGACAATTCTCAATGAAGATCTGGTAGCTGGCCTCCTTGGGTGAGCAGCGGAAGATGAAGGGCTCGTAGCACTCGGCCACCAGGGATTGCGATGGCTTCGTCTGGAAAAAACAGTTTAAAGAAGTGAAAATGTTAATCCGAGGGATAAAGTACCCCAAATTACCCGCATCAGCTCCACTGCCTTTGCGTAGAAGGAAAAGTATGTGCCGACAAAGAGGCAAAATATGCAGATCGGCACTGTGAGGGCGCAGAAGAGCAGCGGCACGCCCAGAAATATGAAGAATATCGCCCAGGTAATGACTATGAACTGCAGGGTGATCTGGGTTGGGATAATTAACCAGTAATTATTAATTAAGACCAGGAAAGATTATAAGTAGAGATAGGTCACGTAGTCGTGTCGCACTCACCTCTCTGAAGCAAAAGACGAAGAAGGACTTGTTGGAGAAGGACATGATATAGTCCCGCACCAGCTCCTGGTACTTCAGTTCGTCGTCCGCCTTGTAGTTGCGTATAACAATAAAAGGCTGCATTGGTAAAATTTAAATAAATAGCCAAACAAAATAAAAATAAAAACACTGCCCCAAACAGAGTGACCAGAGTACGCGAAATACTGAAAGTACGGACTACCGGCAAAATACCATTATCGATTTTTATCCACCTATCGGTAGTATCGATAGGTCTTCCATGGTTTTGACCGTTCTTCGCTGAATCCTGAAAAGGAAAATAACACCAAGTCCCGGCTCATCCGCATCCATGGCAGACGCAGTGGGTTCAACTCAATCCGATGGCCAGCGGCAGTTTATCTGCGGTGTGATCGAAGGGTTCTACGGCCGGCCGTGGACTACGGAGCAGCGCAAAGACCTCTTTCGAAAGCTCAAGTCGATGGAGCTCCATGGCTCCAGTCCGTCGTACATGTATGCCCCCAAGGATGACTACAAGCATCGCGCATTCTGGCGGGAGTTGTACACGGTGGAGGAGGCGGATCACCTGTCCAGTGAGTAAGCTTCCGCATAACCCAATCCTTGCCCTAATCCCGGGTTACCTGCAGGTCTGATTGCGGCGGCAAAGGAGGCGGGGATCACCTTCTACTATGCCCTCTCACCCGGCCTGGATATGACATATAGCAGTCCCAAGGAGATAGCCACGCTGAAGCGCAAACTGGATCAGGTTTCACAATTTGGGTGCGAGGCCTACGCCCTATTATTCGACGACATCGAGTCGGAGCTTTCGAAGGGTGATAAGGAGGTCTTCCAGACGTTCGCCAATGCACAGGTTTCGGTCACCAATGAGATATACACGCATCTGGGCGGCCCCAAGTTCCTGTTCTGCCCCACACAGTACTGCGCCTCGCGAGCTGTGCCCAATGTCCAGGAGTCTGAGTACCTCAACACCCTGGGCTCGAAACTGAACAACGAGATCGATATCCTCTGGACGGGGGACAAGGTAATATCAAAGACCATATCCATTCAGTCAATTCAGGAGATTTCTGAAGTGCTGCGCCGTCCGCCGTGCATCTGGGACAATCTCCATGCCAACGATTACGATCAAAAGCGCGTGTTTCTGGGGCCCTACACCGGCCGGTCGCCGGAGTTAATACCACACCTGCGCGGTGTGATGACCAATCCCAACTGCGAGTTTTACGCCAACTTCATAGCCATCCACTCGCTGGCCTTTTGGTCACGCTGCAGAATGGACTCGAAGATGAACAGTTCATTGAGTGCGGACATTAAACTGGAGACTGAAAACGAGGACGAGCTGCCGGCAGAGTTCCTCTCGAAGAATGTTTACCACCCAAGGGTTGCTCTAAAGTGAGTTTTTCTATAAAAATGTTCTTTGGAAAAATTGAATCAACCCTAAACCCCCTAGGAACGCCATCACTGAGTGGCTGCCGGAATTCTTCATGGAGAAGGAGGCCTGGGGACCCATAACCAAGCCGCAACCGCAAATGGTCATGCCCATTATTCCCATTATACCCTCGATAAACACTTGCATGAGTCTCACCACCACCACGACCACGTCCACGAATACGAGAACTGTGCCGGAGGTGAACACCACCCAACTGCAGGCACTCGCTGAAGTCTGGTAATTAACTTTGGCCAGGAATTAATACTTTAATAATGCCTTAATCCTTTAACAACAGCACCGTGACCTCCTCGCTGACGCCCATCTCCAATCCCGTGATGAACTCCTTGGTTTCGCCCACCAAAGTGGTCACGAATGAGGAGATAATCAACCCCATACCCACAACGGCTGCCTGCAATATTGAACTGCCCAAGAAGATACCGATCTCCATTGTCCCAGTGCCCATCATGGAGGCAAAGAGTGTGGAGGCTTCGGTGAAACTGGGCCTGGACACCGAGGTGTTTGAGCCAACCGAAGGTGAACCGAAGAGCGAGCTAAAAGAGGAGAAGGATGAGGAGCAGCGGAAGCTACTGGAGGCGGTGGCGGCGGTGGAGGAAGACCTAGTTGACAAGCTGGAACCGGTGGCCAGTCTCAATGTGGACACCATGCTGGATGACAACAGCCTGAGTCCGCTGAGTGCCGGTGTCAACGAGCCAATGGAGTGCAGCAGCAGCATAGCCTCCCAGCTATCGCCGAAGGAAGAGGCACCCAAACTGGTGGCCGACGATGTGCTCATGGAGTCGGTTAATGATGTGCATGTAAGTTGGAATCGTTGTGGCATTTCTGTGGATGTTATTAAGCTCTCTTTATGGTTTTCAGAGCATGCATGTGGAGAGTGGCACTTCATCGCCACTTTCGAATGCGGAGATGCGGGAGGAGAGCGATGCTCCATCGATTCAGACGAACGAACATGAGTATGACTTATTAATATTATTATTATTAAAAATAACGTAAGACTAGATACAATTTTCTACATAATAAATATATTTTTTTTATTATTTTCAGCTCGACCTTGATAACATCCGAATCCAGGATAACTGCTGAGGATCTGAGCCTGCTGTGCGATCTCTTTTACCTGCCCTTCGAGCACGGAAGCCGTGGCCTCAAACTGCTCTCCGAATTCCACTGGCTGAAGGGCAACGCCAATGTAATACTACAGGACCGCTCCGCCGTTGGTGGCGATGCTGACAAGAGCACCAAGCCGGAGGTCAGTGAGTGGCTGCTGCGTAGCGAGCACTTTGACGAGCTGTGCGCCAGCGTCCTGCAGCTGTTGATCAAGATCGCAAACTGCCAGAACAAGGAGATCTGTCACGAACTGTACTCCTACGTGTGGGACATATCCGGCGCCCTGTCGCTCCTCAACTGCTACATCAAGTGGCTGGCGCTGGGCCAGTTTCCGCAGAACATGTCCTCCTATACGGAGGGCAGCTATACGTGTAACGTATCCGAACGGCATTACTCATACAGACAGGAAACTGATCATTCATTCTGTTTTCAGGGTTCAGTAAGGGCTGGAAGGAGGCCTTCATGTCCGGCGACCAGGAGCCTTGGGTCTTTCGGGGCGGCCTAATTGCTGACCTGCAGCGTCTGATGCCCGTAGACTCGGGCAACGATCTGTTTGTCTACAAGCTTCCTGAGAAACCCACGACCAACTATTATCTGCTGAGACCCTACTGCTCCGCCGACGAGGAAAATGTCAGCGAGGTGTGCACCCGCACTTACCTCCAATGGCAGCGGGAACTGGACGGAGGCGGCTACATTCCCTTCCCGCTGCCTGACAGCGTGGCTAACATCGTGGCGGACGGAATGGTGGGCGCCTTTGTCACCCTCAGCCCGGAGCTGTGCATCGTGGCCTACGACGATAACAACTGCCTCGTGGGCTATGCCTGCGCCGCTCTGGATGTCAACATATTCCGGCGCAACCAGGAGCTGTGCTGGCATACGGAGATGCGTGACAAGTACCCCAAGGAGCTTAGCCTGCAGGAGTCGGAGACTGGCAAGGGTTTGGCCCAGCTTGTCGCCCGCTTTGTTGAGCAGTTTCATCGCAGCAGCGGCAGTGAGGCTGTGGAGCAGTGTCCTGTAGAGGTAAGCGGCTCCTTTCCAGCCGTGCTCAGTGCCGGCACTTTCCGGGAGGCAGAAGAGCGCGATTCGGGGATCAGCAAGCGTCTGCTCACCGTTCTGCTGGCCGCTTTGCGGGCGAACGGATGCTTTGGCGTTCATGTCTGTATCCCCGAGAGAGAGGTTGGCCAGGTGAACTTTTACACCAGGATCGGTTTTGTGGACGTTTATCGCGAGGAGGCCACCAAGTGCATTTACATGGGACGTCGCTTTTAGCCTTTACATCCCTGACTCCGCTTTCAATGTTCCTTCTCAACTTTTGTATTCCGGTGAGCGATGTGGCCTACCCACTCCGCTTCCTATTCTCATCTAGGTCTCGCGCCAGTGTCCTTTTTGTATTCTTATAAGGTAAAACGTGTGTTACAATGACCCGAGTGTCTCTTCCCCTCTAGTATTTGTCTTAAGCGTCGTTTTCTACGTGTGGAAAACAATAAAACTACAATATCTAACAACTATCCCCAGCCTTTTATTAGCTGCTCCCACTTGGTTTGTCGAGATCATAGAACCACACGGTGTTCACGCCGTCCTCGATGATTTTTACGTGCTGCATACTGGGCAAGGGGAAGCGGCAGGCGATGATCTTCGTGTTGTGTGGACACTCGGCGATCAGCTTGTGCTCCAGGTCCTGCATCATCTGTTCCACTCCGAAGATGACCACAAAGTTGTAGTCCTTTATGTCGAACTTCCACAGGTCGCGGCGGAAGAAGCTCGTCTGTTTTGAGACCCCGTGACGGAGGGCAGCCAGGCGGGAGTAGTAGACTAGCCAGGGATTCAGCTCCACGCCGTCGGTTTTCAGACCCCGGTGGTGCTGGGCCGCCGCTAGAGAGGATTACATAAGTAAATTAAGGCTGGGCCTTGGAAGTTGCTGGGAAGCAGCTGGACTCACCCACCACAATGCGACCGTCGCCGGAGCCAATGTCCAGTAGCTTGCCGCCGGCATTCCTGGGCAGGAAGCTGAGCACATTCTGGATTTGTTCCGTGGTGGCCGGCACGTAAGGTAAACAAATCCGTCTGAAGGCGGGCGCCACAAACGAGGCGCACACAATGGACAGGCCGATGCCGACACCGCCGGTGGCTGCTATCAGGATCTTGCCGCCCGTGGACATGCCAGTTTTCTGGGGTTTTGATATCGCTTTCGAGGCGTCTTCATTCAGGATTTCCATTTCAAAAATCCTATTTAAAGAAATAAGTTTCCTTGACAAATGCAGTGTGCCCAGCAGCTACTGTTTTCGGCAACTGGCCACACTGAACCACTCGTAGGCCAGGGCTGGCATAATGCAAGCAGTGCATTCGGTAATTTTTTGTAAGCTCGCCGCGGTCACACTGGCAAGACTTTTTTCGTCCGTTTTTAATGTGTGCGTGCGCTTCCTATTACAAATTTTCGAAGGATTTTCCGTGTGTTTTGTTGACGTGCAGGCGCGACGGAAAGTGAAAAACGTAATTAACCAGTGCCGTGCAACAGGGCGGGTCAGCGTTTGGCGTAAACAGCAGTGTGTGCCCCGCGAGCGGACAGGCGCAAGGCGTTAAAAAATGGCGAACGTAAGGGACAGCGACACATCACTGTGGCTGCATAATAAACTGGGCACCTCGAACGACTCGTGGATAAACGGCTCGATATGCTCCCAACTGAACAAGGAGGTGCTGCGCAATATCAAGGAGTGCTTTCCGGATTTGCAGACGCAGGTCAAGCTGAAGCTTCTCCTCAGTTTCCTTCACATTCCGCGCCGTCTGGTGGAAGAGGTAAATGGCGTTGGTGTATGGGAAAAAAGTACACCAGCCAACAGCAGCCAGCCAGCCAGCCCACACGCACACACATGCACGCTCTGAGAGATACAAACACGTATACAGTCTATGCTTTCTGTTGGTGAACATGAACCATAGTGAAAAGTGATGAAAATGGTGAAAATGCTCGGGAAATTCGACAATTCCAATCAGTTGATAAGTGCCCGGAGGTGTCCTTGCCATTACTTGGTGGCAATTGCAGGGCGGTTTCGCCAACTGGTGAAAATAAATATTAGCAATGTGTTTCCCGCCACTTCTACTTTTGTGTACACATTTCTCTCTCTCCTACGTGTGCTCTCTCGCTCCCGCGCGTGCCATGTGTGTGTGGGTGGGCTGCGGCGCTGGGTGGCTCTCGGTGGGTCGCTCTAATTTGTTTGCCGTCAATTGCAGTGGAAGGCGGAGCTGGAGGAGGTGATCGAGGTGGCTGGGCTGGACTCGGAGCTGTGGGTCTCCATGCTGGCTGAGACGATGAAGACCTTTCCGGCCACCAGCTCGCTCAACACCGAGATTTCGGACTACGAGGACACGCGTCCGATCTTCACAGACATGGTCAACGACCTGCGCAAGCTGGTCACCAAGCACTCGGACCTTGGCATGCTGCCTCTGGAGTGCCAATACCTGAATAAGAATGCGCTGATCTCAGTGGTAAGGTCTAAACAAGACTCGAATTTGAAGTTAAATTTAACCCCGATGTTTGTTGGTTACAGGTGGGCCAACAACCCGCTCCCGTCAAGCATTTCACGCTGAAGCGTAAGCCCAAGAGCGCCCAACTGCGCACCGAGCTGCTGCACAAGTCGGCGGATGCGCAGTCTTCGCTGAAGAAGGCGTCGGCCCCCACAATTCCACTGCGGTCGCGCGGCATGCCCAGAAAGATGACAGACACCACTCCTCTGAAGGGAATACCGTCGCGCATGCCGACCACAGGCTTCCGCTCGGCCACCGTTCCGGGCAATGCCGCCCAGCGGCCCAATCTCAGTCGGACACCTGCCGGGCGTAAGGATGGCGGCATCAAGCTGATCGAGTTCACCGAGCAGCCATTGGGATATGCGGCGGCCAAGAAGCGCAAGCGTGAGCAACAGTTGGAGGAGCAGCAGAAAAAGCAAGAGCAGAAGCAGCAGCAGCAGGCAGCGGCGGCAGCTGCAGCGGCCACGGCAGCCGCAGCCAATACCGGCGACAGCTCTCCGACGGATGGGGCAACGGCCAGTGGAGGCGAAACGCCCGTCACTCCCACGTCCGCTAATAATAGTTTTGAGATCAAAATGGAGCCACAGTTGCTTAACCAGAGCGCTGGCAGCCTGGAGGAGCCGCTGGACGAGGAGCTGGCGGGTAAATCAGCCATGGAGGGCGAACCGGAGACGCCAGAGTATGCTACAGCCACGTTGGAGTTTGCCCAGGCCACGGCAACATCCGTGGTTGATAGTCAACCGGGAAAGCCCGCCGTCGAGGCTAAGACGAAGAGCCCGCGCACCCCGAAGGCTGCTGCGAAATTGAACAACAACAACAATAACAGCTTCAATCACACACCAAAACGAATCAAGCAGGAGATCGAGATCAAGAGCGAGGAGATCATAGTACCCGCTAGCATCAAGCTGGAGAAGATCGAGACCTCGCCTTCGTCGCAGGGCCAGCAACAGCAGCAGCGTGTCATTATCCAGCAGCAGCCGCCGTCTCTGGTTCAGCGCACTCCGCACCTGCTTATCCGGACGTCGCCGCAGAAGCGGCAGAACAATGGAGCCACCACCAGCACGGCCACTACCACCACTGTGGGCAATACCACCATCAAGATGGAGAAGCTGGACCTCAAGCCGATGTTACGTGCCACTGGCGTCTCGCCTTCGACGAGTACTGCTGCCACGACTACTCTGCTCACGACCCAGCAGCTCCGTCAGGCAGCTAACCCGTTGGCCAATCTGCCCAACAATATCTCCGTGAAGATCACATCCGCCAAGGCGAAGGCAGCGGCAGCAGCAGCAGCTGGCCCCAGTGGCAGTCAGGCGCAGCAGCAGACGGTGCAGGTGCAGCAGACGCCGCAGCAGTCACAGCCACCTCTACTGATCAACAGCTCCACTCCCGTCATTCTGGCATCTTCGCCAAGTGCTCAAAGAGCGGTAAGTCTAAAAGGCAACGTGGATTAGGAATTTAAAGCTTATTTCACTTCTAAAAAAATATCTAAACTTATTTTACGTTCTGGTCTTACTTGATGATTCCTTTTCCTTTTTTAGAAGGCTTTGGCGGCGCCTAGTAGCAGTACTACCCCCACTACCACTACTACAATACCTTCGCAGGCCATAAAGACGATGCCGCTGAGCCAACTGAAGACTGCCACCAACAGCGGCCCGGTGATCATATCGCAGACGATTATTCAGCCGGCTAAGCGGGCTCAACAGCAAGCTGCTGGCACGTCGAGTGCAGCGGCCGCTTCCCAACAGCAGCAGCAGCAGCAGCAACAACAGCAGCAGCAGCAACTGCTGCAACAACAGATCCAGCAGCAGACGCAACAACAGGCCCAGCCAACTCAACAGCAGCCCCAGCAGCAGCAGACACAGTACATCATAGCCACGCCACAGCAGTCGCAGCAGGTGCAACAGCAGCAGCAGCAGCCAATGCTACCCACGCTTACTTCATTTACACACGGTCGACCTTTGCCGCAGACCACAACGCTTTACCAGACAACCACGGCTGGAGGAAACGGGCAGACACCCACGAAGATATTGCTGAAGACCTCGGGTACGTCCAGTGTGGTGATGACGCCGCTCCGACAGGCGCAACAGCAGCAGGCCACCACTGTGGTATCCTCGAATCCGCCGCCACTGGTGGCCACATCCGCAGCAGTGGTCTCGCCCGGACAGTCGACGACTCTGAATATTCAAAACGTGCAGCTGCCTAACCGGCCGGTGACCATTCAGCCAGCCTCCCAGGCTGCCCAGCAACAGCATATGCAGGCTCAGATGCAGCAGCAGCATCCCCATCCGCAGCACACGATCGTAGCCAATACGACGGCCACGCAACAGCCCAAGCTGTCGCAGGTCCTGATGCAGCCAAGCGGAGCTGTTGGGGCCGGCGGAGTGTCCGCCCTGAACGTTTCACCGACGTCTGGGAAAAACAAGACCATTATACTCACCCAAAAGGGCGTTATACTGCGCAACATAGGAGGTGACATGTACCAGCAAATACCCATCAGCAATGTGGGCAGCCTGCAGGGACTCGGTGGCACTACGCTCATGACCACTACGGCGGCTGGACCGCCTAGTCTGGTGAAGACGACGTCGGCGACCGGTGTGCAGTTGCAGCAGCAGCAGCAGGGTGCGCAGCCTGGGAAGCAGATTCTGCCCACCCTCATCCCAACCAGCTCGCTGGGCGGCCAGCACGTGATTGTGCAACAGCAGCAGCCCACCAATGTCATTGGAAATGTAAGTGATACGTCCGAAATAGAGCTTATCCAAAGCCAATTGCTCCACAAGAAACACAATGTTATATATTTGAAATACTTATTATTTTAATTCCCATTAGTCCCCGCAGCAAACCATCATTCGGCCAGTGATGGCCAACGTTGGCGGAGGCTTGACCACGCTGCCGCAGGGCCTGACCCTGATACAGCGGCCGGGCCAGCAGCCGCAACTGGTGCAGGTGCAGGCGGCGCCGGGCAGCACGCAGCGCACGATTATCACGCAATCGAGCACGGCGGCGCCAGCGGCGTCGCAGCAGCAGCCGCGCCAGCAGCAGCAACAAATACTGGTCCAACACAAGCCGGCTCCGACCCTGCAGCAGCGTTTGGTCACCTCCACCACCAGCGGTGGCCAGCAGCCAGGCAATCCCAATGCCGGAATCACACGCACTGTCCAGGTCCAGGTGCAGGCGCAGCAGCAACAGCCCCAGCAGCAAGCAACGCAGCAGCAGCAGGCACCCCAGCGACGCGGGCTCTCGCTTTCGGTGAGATGAAATAATCGGACGAAATTAAAACTGGAACTAATTATTTTATTTGCTTACAGAACGAGCACGTGCACAAGGCGCATGAAATGTTCCGGAAGGCGAATCGTGTTTCGCGTCCTGACAAAGCCCTTATCCTCGGCTTCATGGCGGGTCTGCGTGAAAATCCGCGGCCGAATAATGAAAATGTGTTGGTCATCAAGCTGGGCGAAACAGAGGTAGGATTTTGTAGGACTTTTTCTATTGATATATGTCTAGATGTTGCTTTATAATGTTATTTGTTCTCCATTTAAAACACATGTTTAAGCAATTTGTACAATCTCTTTTCATATTCTATTTACAAAGCCAATTATTTTGTCTACAAAACAAGAAATTTTTTCATCCAATTTGTTTTAATTGCCTTGAAAATAATTCAGTGATTGTTCAATTCCATTAGAAAGTTGAACGTTTTGTATTTTCGTAATCTATTTATTCTATTTCATCGTATTTAATTGTTTTAATTTGTTTTCCTATTTTTTTTTTGCTCAGGAAAAAGTTCAACAGGAGGACGGAAACACGGCGCTGTGCCTAGTGGAATCGCATATCCGGTTGGACTACAACACCGGCGAGTGGAAGACATTCCAGAACTACAGGCTGCAGGATCAGACTGCTGCCTCATAGTCCACGAGGGTTATACGCATAGTTCGCAGCACCAAGTGAGCACGGATGAAAGCGTATATATGGATTGTGAATTATGATTTTATGGATTTTGATTTGTCATCCATCCGTTCTGCACGGGCAGCGTTGCGCTGCCGCCCCTAATTAGGCTAAGTAAGACCCCTTCTCTTCTTTACCCTCCATCCCATCATCCCATCCCGCAGACAGCAAAGCCCAGAGCAGCACCCTGAGAAATGCTGGAAATAATGAAACTATATAATAATTAAGGTAAATTAGCTGTACAGTTGTTTAGTATGTAGTAAAGGCTAGCGCTTAAAACATTTAGTAAACATGCCCGTTCACACAACCACAACCACAGACACACACAAGCAAGCACACACATTCATTCATTCAAACGCAGGAATATTCTCCTCTAAACGCTTCGCTGGAGAGCGAGAGCAGGCGGATGTGCCAGAAGTGAACGTTCGGACAGAACACACCACAAGCATACACTCATGCACTTCGGATCTGCATATACATATATATATATCTCTAGCATTATGTAATTATTGTCGAGTAAAGTGTGTAATTAACCTACCCAGCAGCATACAACAAATTTTGAGACGCTGATCAGCGGCGCGCTCGTTATTCATTAAAAATCCAATGAAAATTTATAGTTATAGATATCTACATACAAAAGTATGTATGAGCCGCAGCAACGGCAAAAAAACAAAAAAAAAACTTAAATCTTGAAATGTAATAATGATGTGTAATAGGCAAAAACAATAAATCTAGCATATGTATTTATGGCTTTAATGTTAAAATCGTTTATATTATATGGGATGTGTTCTAGAAAAGTAAAGCTGGGCATTCGTTTCGAACAATAATACTCTGATGACAAATAAACTCCGAAGACAAGCTCTCTTTTTAGTCTAAATTCTTGTCTCACACACCCAACGTATAAGAAAGGGTTGGAATCTACAGACCAGAAGCATATTGTTATTTAACTTTGATTCGTCAATAAAAGAATTATATAAAAATATCTATTTATAGTCCTTAGAACGTCCTTTTGCTCCTATACGATGCTCAATAAGCTAATAATTTTATATGTGCTCTGGAATTCGGAATTACAATCTTAAATAATTTATAAAAAAAAGTTTAGAAAAAATTTGTGCAGAAAAGTTAGCTCCAGTTACTCAATCCCATTCCTTTTCCTATTATATTTTTAAGCTTAACCCACAAAGATAACCTTTCGATATAGCAGCTTTGGAATTTCCAGCCATTATCTACGGCCAGTTATTTGTCAATACTGGGAGTTGAAAATTGCTGGCCCATGGTCAAGTGAGCGCCAAGTAGAAAGAAGCAAACGACGGACAGCGGCAGGCTTAATTATCAATTGTTGTTTGTTTAATTGTCTTGAAATCGGAAGCTTACAACTAGTCAACACAAACTTACGAAACTTATCGCTTTGTTACACTATGCCTAGGGCTAATACTAGGTGGTAGGCATTACCTAATGCTAGTTAAATATAATACGTGGTGCGTGATAAATTCGCTGCAGATCTGGTTTGGTGACGAGGCGATCGTCCTTCCGTCCTACTTGCCCACCTCCTTCCAGTGGACGATGGCGCGCTGCTCGTCCGGCGCATCCCCGAAGGGACGGGTGCCGTCAGACTGCACGTACTCGTTCACCTGGAAATTGAGGAGCGTCTTGTAGTGATAGACGTCGGCCAGCTGTTGCGTCAGGGGGCTGGTGTTGGTGGTGAAGATGCCGGCGAACTGCTTCTCGCGGGCCACTCGCAGTACTTCGTGCTCCATGAAGTGCATGCAGGCGATGTTTTCGCGGGGATTCAGTTTCTCGGCGGTGCCCATCATGAACGAGTGCAGGATCTGGTTCAGGCCCTTGGGCAGGTAGTTGTCCCTGTTAAGATATGGATATTAGTACCGGTTTGGGAGAGCTCTCGCTTAAGGATAACTCACCGAATGGGACCTTCGCAGAATTCAAGAAACTCGAAGACGATGAGCAGCTTGGACTTGATGTCCACCTCGGGCTCGTTCCGCGCATCAAAGTTCAGGGCTGTGCCAATAATGCGATCAGTGTTGCGATCGTAGACGACAAAGCTCAGGTCCCTCTCCACCAACACATTCCAGATGTCCTATGAGAAGAAATAATAAGTTTATTAAGAATTTTTTAAAAGTAAGTAATAGTATTTTTTGTTATTGAAGACTTACATTCAATATATCGCTATAATCGGTCCGTAAAACACCAGGCTTAAGCCACTGCTCCAAGTCCGCCTTGTTATAAAAGCTGGCCACAATGATGCTGCTCGAAGAATACAAAATTATAATACTAAGTTCCCTTAAGATGTCCATCAGTTACTTACTCGATGACTTCCTGGCGGTGCTCTAGGCGCAAGGGCACCGCCTCCATCTTCAGGTGCGGACAGGCATTTAGAGACTCCTCCTCCAACTGCACGGCATCATGGTTGGCCGCCATTTTCTCAATGATCTCGCCCAGATTCTTGGCCGCTATAAACTCGGATATACCAATGTTGTAGCCCTTCTCCCGCAGCAGGGTCACCGTGAAAATGGAGTTCAGAGAGTTGCCGCCCAGCTCGTAAAAGTTGCTGTGGGGAGCCAAGGTCGCTCTGGTGGAACGCCCAATCACCCCGCCCACTGTCTCGAAGAGATCGCGAGCCGTGAGCTTCAGATCCTCGGGAACTTGGGAGTAATCAAAGTCCAGGACAATGCTAGAGTCGCCCTCGTTGTTATTGGTCGTCTCATAGGTCTTGAGAAGCGCCTGACGGTCTACTTTGCCGTTTACCAAAAGTGGGACATGCTCTAGAATCACTACCTGGGGCGTCATGTAATCGGCTAGCTTGTCCTTGAGGCGCGCCTCCATCTGCATCTCCGTCACCATTGGAGCGTCGTCGCGCAGCTTAACAAAGGCCAGAATAGCCTGGTCGACCTGTCCGGCATGGTAGCACAGGACGATGGCCTTCTCCACCAGCGGCAGCTCAGCCACGTTCTTCTCCACCTCGGAAAGATCTACGCGATGTCCACGAATCTTAACCTGGGAGTCCGTGCGGCCCTCGTACATAATGCTGCCGTTCTTCAGGGATCCGTAGTCTCCGGTGCGATACAAACGGGCATATTCTGGGGAGAAGCAGTTAGGAATTGTTTAAGTATGAAAATTATAGAATCAACTTGGGCACATACTCTTCTCCACGGCCAGCGGATTCTCCAGGAAGCGCTCTGGATCGCGTCCGTTGACATAGCCAGCGGCCAAGTTAAGTCCCGAAGCAAAGATCTCCCCGATCTCGCCGTTCTTCACGGGACGATAGTCGGTATCCAGCAGATATACCACAGTGTTGGACACGGGAATGCCTACAAGAAGAAAGCTCATGGTTTAGAAGGAACAGGTGGATCTAAAAATCAAGGGTTTATCTCACCGATGGGCACATTGTCGTACAAGCTTAGTTGCTTCTTGCTCTCGCAGGCAAAGTAGGTGACATCGCCCATTACCTCGGTGGAGCCGTAAAAGTTGTATAGACGGTGAACGCCCTCGTCAAAATAATCAAAGAAACTGCTGGCCAGAGACACGGAGAGGGGTTCGCCCGAGCACACCCAGATCTGGAGGTTGTACAGCAGCTTTTGTGCCGCTCCGCCGCCCTCCATCTTGAGGTACATCAGCATCGAACGCAGAAGCGTGGGCACCAGCACCAAACGCCTGATCTTGTAACGCTCCAGCAGGGCCACCAGCCGCTGCGGATCCTTGGTCACGGCCTTGGGCACCACGAGGATGGCCAAACCGCACATCAGCGGGCCCCAGAGTTCGGCTATGGAGTCCACGAAGGTCAGGGCCGTTTTAAAGACGCTCACTGCCTCGTTGGTCGTGTACGGAAAGGTTGCCCACTGCCACTGAAGGCGATTCAGGATGCTCTCATGCGGCAGACGCACTCCCTTGGGCACTCCAGTGCTCCCTGAGGTGTACAGCACGATGGCGATGTGGTCATTGCCGCCGCGGAGCATCTCCTCCGAGAGCAGATTGGAGCCGGGCAGCTGAATGGACTTGGCATACAGTTCCGTGGCAGAGAGCGTGGGTGTGCCCTGGAAGCGGCCAGCATCGATGTCATCGTCACGGACCACCAGCGTGGGCTTCGCCTCCAGCAGGATGTGGTGGATGCGATTCGCTGGGAAGCTGGGATCGATGGGCAGGTAGGCACCACCTGCCTTCCAGATGGCCAACAGTGTGGTGACCAGTCCCTCCGATGGCTGCATGCACACGGCCACAATGAAGTCACCGTCGCTGTTGGGCTGCAAGAAACGTCCGTGGGTCTCGGCCACCAGGAGTCGGGCTGCCCGATTGGCCCGTTCGTTCATCTGGCGGTAGCTGCTCTGACTGGGCGCCATACCGTGTCCCGGTCCCTCCGGCTGATAGATTAGAGCCACCTTGTCGGAATGCCTCAGCTGCTGCTCCTCAAAGATGCGGTGCAGAGCTCTGGGCACGAAGTCCTGCTGCAGGCCCTTAACAATCGACAACTGTGGCAGGGAACCCATTCTGAAATTGAGTTACCTGCAGTTAAAGTAAGCACAAAATATGGAAATGAAATAATAATAATTAACATAGAAATGAGACATTATCACTCAGGGATTCTCTAGGTTACATCATTCCCAACGGGTTATTGCCTTACTGTTTCGCGGTAGCAATTAAATCCATTCATACATGCATATTTATAGCACTTTGTGTTAATGGAGCGCACTCACATGCATCTATTGTAATGAATGAATTTTATTTATGGGATAAATATAAGTTAGAGTGGCTCGAGCTTAATTTGATTTAATTTAAATCAATCTGAATTATCCATATATCCTGATTTGCTTTCTATGAAGCAAGTTCTTAAAAATCCATTTATATGGTTGCAACCAAGTACAACCTGCTAGACTCGATCTTGTGGCAACACTTATGAGTCTTGCTGAACATGGTCATGACAACATTTGGTTAACTATATTCTCTAGTGCATTTAACTAAGTTTAATTTATTTTTTAATAAATAGTTTATTATATGTAAATAAAAGCATACATATATCTATTTTTTATTAAAAACAAGGTGTATATGTGTTTATTTCTTAAAATTCTTATTTCTTGAATTTTTTATTTTATTTTAAAACAAAGTTCTAGTTAGATTGGCATCTTAATGCTAGGCGGCTGGCATGTCAAGTCAAATTATGGCGACATTTTTATCTCTACGCTTAGCACCATAACTAATTTTTTATATTTTCATATCTGGTTTGTTCTATTGCAGGCTGGAATCCAATCCATCTCGAAGCTGAATATTATATAATTCATTAGCATAGCCACCTGCTGGCCGACACACACTAATTAGTGTCAGATTAATCTGTGTGGGCATATAGAGTACTATCTATACTAAATTCACGTCTTTTCCGGATATTTGTGTTACAAGTACTTGTACATTAATAAGGTTGTTCTAATAATATTTAAATTGCTTTATTTTATCTAAGTAACAACACTGGATGCTTATTTAAAATTAAGTTCAGGTTTTTCCCTAATATCGTGTTCTAAATCTCCCATTCAAGTTGGCTCGGTCGATGGATTTGGCTGGCAGCCCAAACGGCCGTTCGGAATGCGGCATGTTAACTCGTTAATTGCATTAAATAATTCAATGGCCTGAGCCACCGGGCTGGCTCTGTCCCATTTGACGTGCCGCCATAAAGCTGAGTTAACCACAGTCAGGCCCAATATTGCTGGAGGTCTTTAAGCTGCGCCAGCCTTATGTTCATGCTCGTTTAGTTCAATTGGCGTGTCATAAAACTCAGTTAAAATGTCATTGTGCGGCCAACTTCTGGTGTCCGAGACTATTTATGTTTTTGTATCTGATTCTGCTTCTGCTTGGCTCCAATGTCAAGCACTCTAATCCACAACATGAAGACAGGCGACTGGCGTCTAGAGGCTCAAGAACGGCAATTATTTGTAGCCCTGGCCTTAGCTAATGTTAATCTCCGATTTGGTTTTACAATTGGCTTTGAAGTAAGAAGCTATTAAAAAAAGACTCCGGATCTGGGAAGCAGGAAAGGAAAGCAAGGTGGTGGCGGTTGGTCAGGAAGCTTCTTGGGCCAGTGCTCAATGAATTATTAATTTGGTTCCGCTTCTTCTCCAGCGAAAGAGGAAACACTGGACATGGGCATGGGCAATCAGGCTAGCTGGCTGGCTTCCACAAGCAGTTGTAATCGTCGCAACTGCTAAGCTGCAAACAAGTTTTTACCTTAATTGCGCAACACCGCAATTCTCTGTTGGCCCAGTCTTGTCTTCTGGTTCTGGTTTTTCGGACTTGCTTGGTTCTTATTCCCCGCTTGGCATACATTTTTCGGCGATCAAGTATTTTACAGCGGTTACGGGGCGTATACGTAACGAATTCAAGGCTAGGCAGAGAACATTTCCCAAGCGCCCATTACGTATGCGCCGTGTGAGTCCAATTAGTTTGTTCACTTGCATACACAACATATCTGAGACCAGCATATAGTGCGAGTAGTCATACGAATATCGTATCTGAATACAATGCCGCCGCCGTGTTCTCCATCTGCGTCTGCGCCAGGCCATTGTCTTTGAGTTGGCATAGAGTGCATTCTTGGCCCCTGCGGCTCTTAGCATTTCACATCATCGATTTAATGCATCCAGCGACAGCGACTTCTGTTCACCTTCGCTGCCTCCGTTGATGAGGTGAAATCCATGCGGCTGATTTAATGTTATTGCCGTTGCCCCTGTTGCCATTAAACACCAAAAAAAAAAAAAAACTAGGCAGCAGCAGCAGCAAGGCGATTGAAAAGCATTTAAGACCCGACACACTGAGCAGAGTACGAGCACTGCCTTTAATTTTCCGCTCAAGGTTGCGTTGGTGTTAGATTGTTTGCAGTGGGTTCTGAGGCGCTGAGGCTTTTGGAAAATCGTTCCATAATTATCAGGCTGCCATGTAATTTGTAATTTACATAATTATTGGCTGCGTTTCGGCCGGGTTGAATGACTGTTTGGTAGCAGCAGCAGCAGTAGTGTGTTGGCGCATTCGCCAGATCAACAACATTGCCTAAGGTCGCCGCTCCGATTATCTAGTATCTCGTGTCGCTCAAATGTTTCCGTCGGTGGCGATTCCAAAGTGTGTGGCTAATTAATTTGTTACTGTCGAACCGTCGTCTCGCCGTGGGAGGCGGTTACGAATATGTTCCCTCTGATAAAGTCCCAGTTTAGTACTTTTATTATCTATATTAGGCTTTTTTTTTTTGGTTGCCTGATTTGCTTAATTGAGTAAAGAGCGCCTAATTTAAGCCATGGCACAAGGCCCGCTGCATCTGCACGGGGCTCTGGGGTCGTCCCCCGTGAGTGAGTGATCTGCTTATGTCTGTGTGGGGTTTTTTTTTCCCGCAACCAATGTTGTTTTTCCACAGTATTTCCGATTGTGAGTCAATTGGATGAGTAGTCGGTATTCAGTAGTCAGTAGTAGTGGCAGGCCAGTTGAAAAAACCACACAAGAATACGCAAATAACGATCTCTGCACAGTGCAGAGTCTTGCGTCAATCCGAGAATCGTTTGACCAGATCATTAGGCAAATGCAAATGCAAATCTTGCATCCATAAAACCCACTTGTAATTCATATGTGTACGACACTTAGCACATACTTAACATAATTAATAGCCGATTGACCAATGACTCAATTGCAATTATAAATCCATCACGGCTGGCCACTGTTCGCGAGTACGTATACGCCGTGGTGACCGCCGTTAATAGTTATAGTTAGTTCGCAAATGTGTAGCAGGCGATTAGTTAAGCACGCCAAGACAAATTAAATGTCAATTGCAAGATACTTATGCTAACGCTCATTAACATTATGTCGATGGCCAAGCATTTAGCCAAGAGGCAGGTGCTAAATGCTGGGTAAACAACTGCAACTGAAGACTTTAATCTGTAATTTTGTTGTGAGCTGCGTTAATTGAGTTTTGTCCCTGTCCCGCCTTGAATTCTGTTTGCCTTTTACATTTCGAGTGCATTCACAACTAATGAGCTGAGAGAACGCTCAGCAAATCAAGTTTCCTTTTTATTTTAAGCTTTTCGCTCACTTCCTCGAATTGTGGCGATTTTTTCACGGAACGGGTTACGCAAGGCGTTCGGGTTTGCTCCCAGAAAGTCATCCACGAGCACTTTAAAATACATAAATATGCAAATTGTGGGCACATTTTTGGAACTACAGGAACCTTGAATACTCTGTTCTGATTTAAGGCAATTGCCTGTACTTAAAATTAAACAATCCTGCATAAAACTCAATGTATATGCTGAACATTGTTTTGATCTTCATAAAACTGGAAACCTTAGCTTAAAAATGAGTTCTTCAACGACTGAAGCGAGGTGAAAACAGTTTTGTAAAATCCATTATTTTTGCAAAAATTAATTGCACTTTTTGTGTTCTTCTTTTTATGTAATATTCTCACGGCCTAATGAATTTTGACGTTGTTTTTTTTCTGTCGGAAATGATGTAATTTATCGTAAAACACCGAGGTACTAAAATTACGCGAGTATTAATTTGTTAACGACTGCTAAACATGCATGCCACCTCAATTTGCATATAATAATTTCGGAAAATTTTCATAAATACTTCATTATCACGTATACGTACCGATTAAGATAATTAAGATTTCTGTCACTTGGTAATTTGAACAGTCTTGGGTTATTACTCTTTCAAATCTCTTTATCTGCGACACCTTCACACTGAGCACGTTTCAATGTCCTTTCTGGTGGACAAGACGAGTTTACCAGTTCGAAAATAGAATTCCTGTTTGGTCACTTCACTTGCGTTTCACTCTGGATTCAGGCTGAATTCGGCCCAAAAAAAACTAGCAACGCACACTGGAAACTGGCTACTAAACGTGCTATGTACTTGTAAACGGCGCTCGCAGACTAATCAGAATCCCAGCACCCGACTAACTTATATATCCGACCGATTCGATCCGATTCGCAGTCTCTGCCGCTGCCCCGGTGGACTGCGCAGTCGCGGCGCACAGCCCGATGAAGAATGGCGGAGCAGAGCGCCGCGCCGGCAGAGGCCAGCAGAATGACAAAAAGAAAAAAACCAGTTCCTGCTCTTACAGCCGCTGCAATTATTGCTCGAAGCATATGTGGACGCTGGATGTCGGATTAGAATTTCGTTTAGTTTGGCCGCCATATTCACCGGGGCCGGCGCCCTGTGACGTAGGAAATGGAATGAAATTCCTGGCAGTCCCCGCGCTCTCTTGCTAATTGGCAGGCAAAACACATAGTAGTTCGGATTTGTTTTTTACCTACTAGACACTTGGAAATCCCTCGCATGACGCAGACCTGCAAGTGGTTCGATGAAAGTGGAATAACACTATAGATTACGCCCATATAGAAAGCCGTCTTTCAATTGATCTGTCCTTCGGGATAGGTTGAGTTATCCAAACGGCACTGCAATCATTTGGGGAAACGATGTTTTTACTTCTCCAAGGAGAGATATTTATGAATATCAGCTCAGCTCTCAATTTTTAAAATCAGGTTTGCTTTCCATTTATTATTATTATATGTTGTTGGGGGTCCCATTTCCAAACTACCTTTACATTAGCTGTGTTTTTAATATAAAATAAAGTTTCTTTTCTTTTTTTAATTTATCAAGTTCTCACTTAATTCTTGTGAAGTCGTTGCCAGATTTTAAATAAAGCGAAAGCTATAAAAACAAGAGCCCTTGAGTTACCACAAAATAGAGTCTAGGGGTTATTGGCCCGGAATATTGTCTTTAAGTATTGGGAAGGTAACAAGGAATCGTGTTCAAGCTTCTAGTGTCACGAATAGGATTTTATTTGTATGAGAATCCTACTTTACCACGTGGCCATATTTAAAAAAATAGTTAAAATAATTTTGTAATAATTTCACATAATTACTACACCAATGGGAAATTATCTGTACTTAGATAAGGTACGAAGACTCGAGTAGTTATGAGCTCGGACTTAAATAGTTGGATAGTTCCCATCACGGTCTGTTTATTTCTACCTATCAACACATTACTGCTTAAGTTATTATACCCTTGCAGGGTATTATAATTTCAGTCAGAAGTTTGCAACGCAGTGAAGGAGACGTTTCCGACCCCATAAACCATATATATTCTTGATCAGCATCAACAGGGGAATCTTTCTAGATATGTCAGGAAGAAATCGATTTTTTTTTGCAATTTTTGCAAAATTTTATAAGGGGTTACATCATTAAAATTTTTGATTTTGATAAAAAATTGAATTTTCAAAATTTTTAAATGAAGTATGCAGATTTATTAACTGTAGAAAATCTTGCACAGAACAGTTTGCCGATTTAAAATTAATGCTCTTTTGGCCGAGTTATGATATTTTTAATTTAAAAAAAAATCAAGAAGTTTTTTAATATAAAAAATCAGATTTTATAATACAAAATAATATTTTTCTAAGTGAAGGAATCATTTTCGACCCCATAAACCATATATATTATTGATCAGCATCAACAGGGGAATCTTTCTAGATATGTCAGGAAGAAATCAATTTTTTTTGGCAATTTTTGCAACATTTTATAAGGGGTTACATCATTAAAATTTTTGATTTTGATAAAAAATTGAATTTTCAAAATTTTTAAATGAAGTATGCAGATTTATTAACTGTAGAAAATTTTGCATAGAACAGTTTTCCGATTTAAAATTAATGCTCTTTTGGTCGAGTTATGATATTTTTAATTAAAAAAAATTAAGAAGTTTTTTAATATAAAAAATCCGATTTTATAATACGAAAAAATATTTTTCTAAGTGAAGGAATCATTTTCGACCCCATAAACCATATATATTCTTGATCAGCATGAACAGGGGAATCGTTCTAGATATGTCCGGAAGAATTCGATTTTTTTGCCATTTTTGCGAAATTTGATAAGGGGTTACATCATTAAAATTAGCAAAAATTGCCAAAAATTTTGATTTCTTAAAATTTTAAATTTGGTATGCAATTTTTTTAGGCTTATAAAAACTAACACAAAACCGCTTTCCGAATCGAATTTAATGCATTTTTGGCTTATTTATGATATATTTTAATTTTAACCTGCAAGGGTATACACACTATGGCTAGCCAAAGTTAGCTTTCTTTCTTGTTATTATTATTTTTACACTTGACTGTTAGTATTTTTACAACTTTATTACCACGAAACGCTTCTTTAGTTACTACAAAAAAGTTATTGTGGGTACTGCTAACATAACTCCTCCTTTGTTATTACAAAGTAGTCGAATTTACGACTGGCCATGCTTGAGACTCTAAGATTAATTGGATTTATGGCATTTAGCCTGCGATTTAATTCACCACTTAGAGTCGTGCGAAAGTAGAAACCTAATTACAAATGGAATTATAAATAAGAACTGAGCATCAGCATTAGAGAAACTGCAATTTGTAGATCGATGCTGTAGCTGTCATAGAAATGTACACACTCGATGTGAGAGGGATATTGATATATGCCAGCAGCAGTCATGTTGTGCTTCCCATTATGGAGTCAGTGTGAAAATTTGCAGTTGAAGTATTGCGGCGAGGCGCCTGTCCCCCTGACTTTTAAATCAATCATTACTCGATAAATATCCACTGCTTGCGAATGCATTCAGGCGCCTGGAAATCTTGGACATCGTAAGCACGGCAGACAAGTCTAAAGTCGATCATTGTTTGCAGTATCAAGGTTAATCAGTTAATTGATTGAACGCTTAAAGAGAGCCCCTGCACATTCGAATGTTGTTCAGGAATCCGAAAATCGAAAATCGACTATTAATTAGCAAATCAGGGGTGTTGCGTGCCAGAACCTTATCTAATAGATCCCAAAAGCGATGCGGGTGAAGTTTTTAAGTCATTACCGATCAATTATTTGCATTCAATTGGTTTTCAACAAAAGCTAATATGACAGCTAGTCTGGAATTGCTTTTCGATTAAAATTTATGAGTGCAAGAATAGCTTGAGAACCACTTCCATTTAAATAACAAACATTAACTAATTAATTTAGCGACCAACTATGTAAATACTTCAAGTGACTAGTATATAATTGAATTCCTTTTCTACGAGATTCTTATCGCAGCATGTGTTAGTAAGCCGTAATAGTATATTAGTTGTTATAATAAAAATAATTGGCGGCAATTTGAACGCTGATTGACCATAAAAATGCACAGATTTTCCTATACATTGCAAGCGTTCCATAAAAAGTACTTACTTCCTTCTTTCAATTGCTTTATTTACTAATTAAATGTTTTGCATTTAACGCACATGTTCGGAGGGGGGGGGCTTTTTTCGCCGCTTGAAACAAAAGGATTCACAGGGAGATTTGGGTCACAACACACATTAAGTGCATTTTAATGGGAATTTGGTTACGTGATTCACTCCTGCAAAATGTTACGACATCGGGCTGAGGCTGGTGCTTAAAAAGCGATCAGCAAGAATGGTTAATTAACCGATTACCGAAATCTAATTGAATTCTATAAATGCGAATGAAACAAAGTGAAGGTGTGCCCAATATCAGATCGGACCCAATTAAGATTAGCCCGCAGTTCTCTGTACTGACCGTATCTGTACCTGTATCTGCGGGATGCCAAGATTTGTATCTCAGCTTACTTAACACCCGAGTCACGTTTCCAGTTCACAACGTCAGCGACCGTGAGGAGGCACCTTTGGAACCGGCTGCTAGTCGGCTGGCATCGCATCCGGACTTCCCCAAAAAGAAAGTGTGACGCATCCATCCGCCGCGTTCGTTCGCTGGACAGTTCTACGAAACTGCCTCCGTAGTCGGCTATAATGTTCTCATTTGTTTTTGTTGATCGCGCGATTTCAGCTGTTTAAGGCACGATTGTGACGAGAAAGTATTATGTTTACACTACAGAGAATAAATAATTCAAACAAAAAAAGTTGAAAAAAAAAATCTATATAAAAAATGCATAAAAAAAGGTTCAAACTCTTCAATCCTCTACGAACCTGCAGAGCATAATATTTCCAAACAGGGACCTGCTAAGGATATTGATGAGCAAGTGGGTGGGCTTCAATTAGTATTAGCATTTAACAAATGCTTTTCTCTCAGTGTACTATTGCAGGGAGGTTGTCCAACTCGTTTTTGCCCCGACAAGTATTTCCCTAAACAAAACAAGTCGACGCGGAGCGGGACAATTTACTGTTAACAGCTGCTGGCAGGCAGGCGGACAGCCGACTGTCGAATCTAACAATTCGACGGCGCTGATTGCTTTCGCATTCGGCTGATCGATGTTGTTCTTTTGATGTCAACATTAGGTCCGCTTGTTGCGCATTCGCCGTGTTGGTTATGACAATGACAGCGACGCTTTTGCGCCGACATGCGTGCCGCAATCATAACCATCTCAATTGCGAGCGAACGTGTCAAGTGACCGGCCGGGTAATTACTCGCAAGAATCTGGCCAATCTGGCGCGCACGGAAGTGCCGAGAGTCTGGGCGAGCACTTCCCCACAGCCGAGCCAGCCGCGTCACTCGGACAGCTGGGCCAATTCAAATTGAATTATGCGGCCAATTAAATTATCATTAGAGCTGCAGGCCAGCTATCTGGCCATATTAGCGCATAGGCGTGGCAGCGGAGACGGGCCACTTGGACATGTTAAATGCAATTGTCGCCCCATGTTAATGAGGCGATTGTAATAAGCAAATCGATATTCCAACGCAAACTAACCTATTAAAAACACCTGAGAGCTGGGAGAACCGCCATATTTCAAACAAATCCAGCTACTATTATATCAAGTGATAAATAAAATTAATTAATAATAATGTTATAGTATTCCCACAACGCTATGCTAGGTAATAAATAATATTAGATGCCGATTGTTGTTCTTAAAATGCTCTCTCTTGAGTCTTTTGATAAAAGTATTTTTTAAATCCCAATTTCTAGAGATTATTAAAGCTCTCTAATGTATATAATCTGTATAATACAGTTTACTTTTAAAATTAATTATTATAATGAGCTGCCTATGACAACATCATCATAACCTAATTAAATTTGCTTAAATTACTTTTCTAGGAAATCTAATAGGGGTAATTTCAACCCCCACGCATTACTCACATGAAAACCCAAATTAAACCCAGATCGTATATTGTTGATTGGGGGTTCTGAGGAATTTTGAATAGGCAAACATGAAGAGGTAAACAATCGATAAGATTGGGCACACGCCAACGGAGTTAATGGTGGAAAACTTGTTCCTATAAATCGCACTCCTTCTCTGCTGAGTTGGATGGTGTTTGCCTGTATGCAGGGCTACGGTGGCCAATTCCTTCTTGGCCTCTCCGCTGTGGCAGCCACTCTCGAAGTTGTCGTTTTTGCGTCTACATTTGACAGCTTTTCATTCAGAACCTCAATGTGGGACGGCAAGGGGGAACACCTACTTTTCCGACTACGATGTAAGTTAAAACTCTTAATTCTTAGATCCCGAATATAATAATAATAATCTACTATTATTAGATGCTCCGATTCTGGCAAGACATTCGATTTTCTGTGCTGCTTGCCTATGTGATGCACATCCTAATCGAGGCTCCTTTTGAGAACTGGAAAGTCTCCTTCTGCCTAACCAAAGACCAGCTCCACAGCCAAAATTGTCTGCTATTGAGGTTATCACTCCAGAGCTCGTCCCAACGGCCTTGAAAAGCACAGAGAAGCTGGAAAGCGAAAGCAGGGAATCTAAGGGAACTTCACATGAAAATTCCTTGCCCGAAGATAATGTTACCCATTAGAGAGATAGAACTTTCTTCAGGAAGTAAATGGAATTTAGAGCATTGAACCAATCAAGACATGAAATCTAATCTGAAATGAATTATGTGATCAATTACACTTCCATTAAAGAAGCAGACTCATAACGCTGGCTATATATTATTGGTGACAGGCTGCAGTGTGGCGGCAGATCAAGTTATTGGAAAACTCGCTGTATGCAAATCGACTAATTGCAAAAATCAGATAACCAAGATACACTTGCTATCAACTTTCCGGCTTGATCGCATCTACTTGATCATAGAATTATAAATAACACCTGAAAACCCCGTAGACCAGCGCCATGAGTGCGTTCGAACCGCTAGACATCGGCAGATATGGAAGTGATTTGCACTATTGTTATAGCCGTGACAAGTGGGGTACAATCGCTTGGTGTTTGGGCCTAGAGAAATAGTTGCCAAGGACAAGGACAAGGCCGTTTCAGTTCTGCGAAGAATTGACCTATAATCGATATGAGAGTCAATAAATCGAAGTTTACTATTCCTAGAAATTCAGAATATAAAAGTGCACCATGACCGAAGAAGTTCTTTCAAAATATTTAGGTCTTATGGCGAATGGAATCGATAAGATAATCTAGCCCCCCATAATATGCAGAAACAAGGGTTACGTGTGAAGATTTCAATCGAAATAATAAATTCGTACTAAAAGGCCTTTCGCAGATTGCAGAGTCATGAAAATTGGACTAATCGAAAGTGCCCATATATTACTAATCCTTAGCTCAGACGACTGCCAGACATCCAGTGGCTATGCAAGCGATCGGTTATAAAAAGGGTTGCTCTAGTCCGGATGCGAAACATTCGGTGGTTGGAAGTCCACAGATATGGTAAGAATCAGGTTAGTAGTGCTGTTCCTTTGCGGCCTGGCCCTGGCCAGCGCTCTTGGATTGGACTTGGACCTCAACCAAGACCTCGAACTGGACGTTAAGGATTACCAGCGATTGAACAGACTACGGCATTTATCGGAGGAGTTCTTCAGCTATTACCAGAACGTAACTGTGGAGGACTTGGTGCCCGAGACGCGGCTCCCCACCGCCCAGGATTTGCAGTGCTATGCGCAGTTCGCCCAGCTGACCGCCGGATTGCTTAGCGGTGAACTTTGGGCCTTCAGAAGTGAGTATAGTGACCTATAGTCCTAGAGAATGGCGACTTTAAAGACTTTTGTGCTCAGTGATCGACTCCTGGGGGTCGATACCGGCTGGAATCCTCAAGGGGCATCTTAAGGATCTCGGCCACTATGATGAATGCGTGGCCATTGAGCAGACCGTGGCCTCGAGCTACACCTTTCAGGGGAAGTACTGCCTGGCCCAACTGCCGCTGCAGCAACTGCTGGGTAATGCCGGCGGCATGATGAGGATGTTGAATGTCCAGACGGCTGTCTGCTTTCCCTCTGCCTGTTCGGCCACCAACATGGACACACTGCTACGACGGGTCTTCAAGCAGCTAATTGGTCTAGAGCTGAGTGACAACGTTAATCTGGTCAGCGAAAGCACTTGCAAAACCTCAGAGAAAGAGGCCTACGATGCTGTTACTATTTTTACAATGTAAGTGAAAGATCTTTACATTTACTGATTTGTTTTAAATATTTATTTATTGTTTATTAACAGCGTTTTACTGTCTGTATTTGGAGCGGTCGTAGGACTGGCTACTCTTTATGACTATTTCTTATGCTCGGATCCAAGTAAGTATACCAAAGTCAGCCTTAAAATAATATTTCTTTTTTATTCCTTGATTTTATGTAATTTTCAGAAAAATTACCACCTATTCTCAAGGTTTTCTCGGCACGTGCCAACTCCCGTGCCCTATTCAGGGTAAGCACCACATCCAATCCAAATGTGATTGAGTGTCTCCATGGAATTCGTTGCATGTCCTTGATCTGGGTTTGCTATGGTCATGACTACATCATTGGCATTACATCTCCCAACATCAACCTGTATGATGTGTACACGGTAAGACCAGGAAATTTGAATTAAAAATCAATTTGGAATTTATCCTTTTCCTACCCCTTCTTAGTGGGCCAAGACACCTTTCATGGACGTTATCTACGAGGGCGTTTTCGCTGTGGACACCTTCTTCTTTATCAGCGGTCTGCTTGTGGCCATGGTTCCACTGCGTGCCATGGAGAGGTAAGTCTAAGTCCCAGCTAGGTCTTCCTATACCCATTACTGCTATTATTTTAGGGCCAAGGGAAAACTTAATATTCCACTGATGTATTTGCATCGCTATCTCCGGCTGACGCCCATCGTGGCCGTGTCCATCCTTATCTACCTGAAGGTTTTGCCTCTGGTGGGCGATGGGCCGCTGTACGGCAACTGGAACTTTGATAACTACGATAACTGCAACGACAACTGGTATTGGACCTTGATTTACATTCAGAACTATGCTGCTGACAAAGAGGTGAGTGTTTCATAGGTCCTCTTTGAATAATCGATCCAACTATAATTTTGTTGTGCAGTGCCTTGCTCATACCTGGTATCTGGCCATCGACATGCAGCTGTACATCATTGCCCCCATACTGCTGATCGTTGTGTACAAGTGGGGCAAGAAGGGAGCTGCTCTGGTGCTCCTCTTGATGCTCGGCCTCGCAGCCTACCTGTTCAGCATTATGGTGATCAACAACTATTCACTGTAAGTATTGTTGTGATATTTTCAAAAGGAATTAGACTTAGTTATTTAATTTATTTTATAAAGGTTAAATGGAGGCGGAGGCGGTGGACCCGATAGTGGCGGAAGCACTGACCTGTCGCATTATACACACACCAGAGCTTCCGGCTGGCTGGTTGGGTTCCTATTCGGTTACTTCCTGCACTCGATTCGGGGAAAGTCCATCAAACTGAACCGTCCCACCGTATGGGTGGGGTGGATCACCAGTTTGGCCCTGTTGCTCACCTGCATCTTCGCCATGTATCCTTACGGCATTGGCAAAAGCAAGACTCTGCCCATCCTTAACGAGGCTTTTTACGTTTCGCTCTCCAGGATCGCCTGGCCCCTGGGCCTGAGTTGGGTGGTCTTTGCCTGCATGCAGGGATACGGGGGGCTGGCCAACTCTTTCCTCACCTCCCCACTGTGGCAGCCACTCTCGAAACTGTCCTTCTGCGTCTACATGGGGCATCTGTTCATTCAGAACCTCAATGGAGGACGTACGCGCGTCAATACCTACTTCTCGAACTATGATATTGTAAGTAATCAATGCTTCTTTGGTTATAACCTCGATAGAAACCCTTCTAAATTGTCTCCCTCAGATGTTGCGCTTCTGGCAGGACTTTGGTTTCTCCGTGCTACTCGCCTATGTCCTTTACATTCTGATCGAAGCTCCTTGTGGGGGATTGGAGAGTCTGATTTTGCCGAACCGAAGACCAGCTCCACAGCCGAAACTACAACCTCCAGTTGAGGCGTCACCAGAGGCAACACAGGCGCCAATTGATGTGGAGAAGCAAGTTCCAGAGCCGGTGGCTCCTCTGCCGAATACTGAAACTGCATCAGCTCCTCCTCTGGAAAGCAAGATTGACCTGCAGACTAGCGGGGATACGGCAGCCAAGGCGACTAGTTAAATAACATAACAATAAGGAAAATCATTGTAAATAGTTTATTTATACTTTATATATTTTATATTTATATAAAACTTACAAATAAGCTGAGAAAATAAAGACATTTTTGTATATCTAAACAAATTGTGAAGCTAAAGAAATTAATATAGAGCAATGGGATGGATACATGATGTCGTCAAGAAATAGATTTTAGTTGCCTTGATAAATAAGTAAAGAGACTATATCCGAAATTTTATGGAATTATACGTCCATTTTATAATCTAATAGATTGTATTGATTGTGTCAAGAGGAACAACAAATATTTAGAATTGCTTTCTTAAAAACATTCCATTAAAGAGAAAAATGAAAACAACAAACTTTCCCAAGAATCGCACGAGGTGCAGGCATGCAGACTCCTTGATAGATCGTGACTCAGAAATCTAAGCAACCTAAGTGGGTTTTTTCCTGAACTTTGAAGTTGGCTGCTTTTTATATTAATAAAGTATGATTAGTTTAGTTAGCATAGAGGGTATAAAACAATACTGATTAAAGCGAATTAATAAAGTCAAAGAGGTTTCTTGGGTAAAGGACTTGATTATCTGGCCTTTGAGTTCAGATAGGCTCGAACTCTTAGAAAATGTATATCTGATCAAGTTTCAAGAAGCCAAATAAAACGCTACCAGGTGCCTGATATGGCGCCGTCTAGGGCCTGGGAAATCCATTCGGCTATTATTTTGTTTTGATTGCTCATTACGGTTCTAATTGCCACGGTAAGACTTCGTTTTTGCCATTTTCGCCATTTCATATTGAGTTTGCTCATCAGAAGGTACAAGGAAATCCCATTTACTGTTTTCCAAAAACTAAAACCGCCTTGATTAGATAGTAATTTGCTTTAATTCTAAGATCCAAGGTGCATGCTGACGATTGCTTTATATGTTTTTAATCAGGACAAAGAGGTTCGGACACGTGTGGAGCATTTTTTGATAACGAGAGGCTGGGTCAAAGTATTTTTTGACGGCAATTACTTTAATAAAAATCACAGAAAATAGAAAACCAATAACTAGGTTATCAAAGCTGTTTTAATATACAGTATTTATTATTATTAATAGTATCTTTAGTTCCATATATAACCCACCTCTCAAACTAGGAACTGTACTGATTTGTTTACAACAAACTGGTAATACAAAATCTGATATTACGATAAGTAAATTTGTTTTCCAAATTATATTGTTGTGCTAAAGCCCACTCATGCATAAAGGGGTTAGATGACTAATGCCTATATAGGACAAACAAAAAATGAGTTTTAGAACTATATCATTTAATATTTTTAGAAGGAGAAAAGGTACATTAGTCATACATTTATATATTCTAATCGAAACTTTAGCTGGTGCTATTTAAGTTTGAATGGAAATTGATTCAAGAGAAAAACAATATGTTAAGTAACAATTTAATGAATACTTTCTTTAATTTAAATATATAAATTAATTTAAATATAAATTAAATCTAAATAAAATCCAGTAATTTACCAAATCCTTTACTCTTTTTAAAGTTTGTTTAGCGCTGCCGAACTATTGAACAAAGTTCCCTGATAACAGTTAGTGATTTATTAAAGGCAATTGCCGAAATTAATAAATAAACTTGATGGCACTTAATATTCAATACTGTAATCGCAAAGTACTCAAGGGAAATAGGAACTCGACAGCAGTAGCTTTTCCAGCGTATAAGCTTATTATGGGTTATGAACTATCTCTAATAATATAATAATAATATGATATGATATGATACAAAATAATATGATAATAATTAAGAGAAAAATAAGTGAAATTAGCATGTGCTTTAGCAAAAGAGTCGAAATAGTAATAATTATATACTATATTCAAACTAGAATCGCTTGTAATCCTTTCCTTAAATGTGTGCACTAATTTTGCCTGTCTGTGCTAAATGCTATTAAATGTATAAATATGTATATATAACAAATATAATATAATAAAAAAAAATAATGTATAATAAATGCATACATTGTGACTTGAAATCCAAAACATTCACCCTAAGAATATTATTTAAATAACTATTTCTTGAGTTTTATTTTTATATAGTTTGTCATACTGGTCATACTTAAGATACCTTAAGTTTTTGTATTTAATTTATTTATATAATTTCTACTAAATCACACTAGCAATGATTTATTATTATTGTAAAGCTACACCCTGTATTATTGCTGATTGCAAGTCAGCTTTTACGCGCACTCCTCCATTCACCTTGCGTCACTCGCCTGCCCTCAGTAGTTCCCCGCCCGATACTACGCGCTCCTCCAATCTTACCAATTTTCAAGTGGCAAAGCGCTTGGCTCCATTCACAAAAGCCCGGCGAATGCTTTCGCGCCAAAATGACTAGCGGCCGGCGGAGGAGGAGGAGCAAAAGCCGAGTGGCAAAGCTCTCGACTAGCTTGGATCCGAGAGAGCTTCGGCGGTGCTGCCAAGCCAAGGAGCTTTGCCAGTTGTTTTGGCCGTGCCGGCAAACACGGCGTATGAAAATTGTTTGCTAGAAAACCGCGCTGTTAGTCTTTTGGAAAACTTGCCGTCGAGCGGTTGGCCGGATCGTGCGGCCTAAAGAGAAAGCGCTCGAAAGTTAGTTTTGGAATCGAATCTTTGGAAAATAGAATCAGGCGACAGGTGCATCTCTCTCGGTATATGCCACAGTTCTACTTTAGCCGTCTTTGTGGCTGTTTTTCCTCCGGCGGAGGCCTGCACTTTGCGGCTGCCATTAATGTCAACACCGTTGTCAGCTGGCTGCGGTTGTCGTCCGCGTCGCGTTAATGCTTTTAATTACATGCAAAACATAAAAAAAGCGTATTTCGTTAAGTGTTGCCGTGAAGTTTGACATCGGAAATTAATGCACTCGCCGTTGCCGCCGCATGCATTGCGCGGGCAGACGGAACAGTTCCTACACAGTCCACCACTCGATCCCCCGATCCCGGCCGGCCTTTCTCCCAGATCTTGAGTATTCCGCCGGCTTTTTTCGTTGGTAAGTCTACACATGCGGTGTGTGTAAACAAAGTGAAGGTGTTTCTGATAATGCTATAATGGGTTTAACTCGTGCAAGTACTGCTCTTGATAATTTAAAAAGTAAATTGGGCCAAACACGTTTAATGGAAAGGTGGTTTGTAGAGTTTTCTATTGGCTTAAAGTTTCTTTAATTTTTCTAGAGCATGTTAAATTTGACAGAGTTTTACCCAGTATTTGTAAAACCCACCTCTGTTATATTAAAATGAGATCGGATAATTGAAAGCAAACGTGATTATTGCAACGACATTAGCATACGCGTTTCAATGGTTCCTCTGTATAACTCTATTGCCCTGACTGACTCTCCATTGAACTGTGCTCACGCATCGTTATTAATAATGTTTATTTTGCTGATAATATTGATTTCAAAATATAAACATTGACAAATTAATGCCTGTGCGATTGCCCAGTCATCGTCATTACTCCGATGATCAAGATCGACATCATCATCTCAAGTGGAGACTTGAGACCACACTCGAAAAGTGTGGCGAGGCGCGAAATGCTTCTTGAATGCGAAACGGATTCCCTTCTCGGGCCTTATCACACATCGTGACCTCGCGAGAAGCTCTCCAAATCCGCAGCGATGTCACAGAATTCCTTAGCTCATTTTAACCGCTCACGTTCGAATACTTCAGGCCGGTCCAAAAATACCCCGAATAAGTTGTATAAATATGGGGTTTTATTTGCTTAAGAACACATTTCCAACACCTCATCGCCCAGCGCCCATTGCCTATCACCCACCGCCCATCGACGGCTCATTAAATAAATGCAACATCTGTTGGCGCTCTTCGGGGCCTTTTGTTTACACTCCGTATTGCCGCGCAAATTTAATGCCAAACATATTTAATACGCACACCCAGGTCGAATTAGCCCGGCTCAGTTCTGCTTGTTTATAAATTTTGGCAGTCGACTCTTTAGCATTCTACGTCATACGTGGGCTCAGCACCCCAGCCCCTTTCTCTTAACAGTGTTCTTTTATACACAGGAAAAAATATGCTTCATTTATGATGATAATTAAATTAAAAGTAACAAATTCTTGTCCCATGAGAGCCACACATCGTAAAATGTTTATTACAGAAAAAGAGTGATTTTGATAATTCGTAGATAAACGTGTTTTTATGTATTATAAAGTTTTTAAAACAGCACTGGTAAAAAAGACTGAACACAAAATGAAGTTTAATATTGAAAACTAATTCGAAAAGTTGTCTGAATTTATAATATAAATTAAAGACTTAGGAAACCCTCATATATTTGTACAGTTTGTTTGAAAATATTTTAATAAACCTATGAAAATAATAATTTTAAAAGGAATTATGCCACTGCCTTGCTGTTTTCATTTTTAAATATTTTTCTTAACAAATTTGCTTCCTGTAAACTAATTTTCCCAGTGCATCGTTTACAGACCAGCGAACTGGGGGCAAATCGGATAAGAGACCGCGCGAGCGGCATAAGAAATATGAAAATTTATTGCGTATACGCCACAGAGGCCGGCATTTCATTTTAAGAATTTTCCGCCTGCATCACAAGTTGATTGGGCTTTGCTATTTTGGTCAGTCGGCCCGACACAGAGCAAGAGGCCCGGTTCCAAATCAAATGTCTTTATTTATACGAGTATGAATTGTGATTTATGCGCTCGTCTTTCATGTTGCCATTTTTTATCTTATGTCTTTTTGCTCCTCCCCATTGGCAGCGTCTCACTTTTTACGCCTTGCTCTGCCTAATTACGCTCGGCTGGAAAGAAAAGCGAAACGAACCGGGGCAAAAAAAAAAAGGAAAAGTATGCGGTCAAACACGTCCATGGAGCTGTCCATCGAAACCGGGGAGATGAGGGGCAAATTAAGTCAGTCCATCCAGCCTGTCCATTTGATTTGCCAGACGCGTGTGTGGCGCCTTTCGATTTTTCGACATTTAGGCTGTTTTGACTTTAGTTTCGTATTTTTTTTGGGGCCAATCGCGATCGCG